TGGAGACTTTTGCTGTGGATCCCACACACAGCACACATATTCCAAAATCGAGCGGACAAATGAAATATAAGCAGTATTTTTTTAAAGCAGCAGGTGAGGATCTCAGGTTACGCTGAATGAAATTCAGTTGCTTTGGCAGCTTTCGCAAGCACAGCATATGCACATGCCCCTTGCAAGAACAGTCGCTTGCAAAGGTTACACTTGTACGTTGGTTGCTGATGAAATATGAAGTCACCGTTCAGAAAATAACGCGTTTCGTCTATTTTCTTTTTTTTTTAGTGAAAGACACATGGACACATTTTTTAACGTTAAGTTGCATTTTCCACTTCTCGCACCATTTCACAATTCAATTCTGGCAAAGTCGGCCTGCAATCCAATGTGGTCCTGTTCATTTTTTTTTCTGCATACAACAGAGTCGTCGGCAAATAACGTACCGTCAGGAATCCCATCCCGTCAGGGATTCCTGACGGGATTCATGACGGGATATCCCGTCAGGAATCTTGTTGATGTAAACTAAGAACAGTAGCGGCCCTAGAACGAACCCCTGAGGGACACCCGATGTTACTTCTACCGTGAATGAGTGATACCATTCAGATCAATTCACATAGTCGATGCTGTGACAGATAATTGGCAATCTATTGTAGCACATTTTTATCAATATTTGCCATTTCAAGTTTGTGAAGAACCAAGAGGTGGGACACGGTATTAAACGCTTTTCTGAAATCTAAAAAAAAAATGCAGTCAGTTTTCATACATTATGGTCCACCTCAGTCACTAAATCGTGGTAGAATTCAATCAGTTGCGTTGTGCAAGACAGGCCCTTGCGGAAATCATGCTGAACATCGGCTAATAATTTGTGTTGGAGTAGGTGTTTCATTATGTCTTTATACAGTATACATGTTCCAATATCTCGCGAGGAATTGATGTTAAATAAGTGGGCCTATAGTTGTTTGCCTCTTTCTTGGAGCCACCCTTGTAAATAGGAACCACAAAGGCCATTTTCCAGTCTTCAGGCAGAATTCCAGTAACGAGAGATTTGTTGTATATTAGATAAAGATAAGATGCAATCGGCTGGGCACAGCGCTTCAATAAGCGGGGGGAAATGTCATCTGGGCCAAGCGTATTAGTTTCATCTATGTTTTTTTTAAACAGGGATTTGATACCATTGACAGAAAGTTCAACCAGTAGCATTAAGGATTTAGTTATACTGAAGGGGGCTCAACCAGCACGGATAGTTTCACAGTATCCTTGACAGGTAAAAATACGGAATGAAAGAAATCATTGAGACATGTTGCCGTATCAATGTCGCTGGACAGGATCTTATTGTCATGAACAATTTCGTCCACTCCAGTTGGGTCAGCACCGCAGTTGCTTACGTATCTCTAAAGAAGGTTGGGGTTAGTTTTTATGCTTTCATTCAGCCGACTGAAGTACTGATTCTTTGCACTACGTTCTTTAGATTTATATTCATTGGTTACTCCCACTGACCTAAACCAACTAAATTGTACTGATAAATACTTTGAGTTCTTTTAAGTGCCTTGCAATTGTATACTCCTCGTCTTCTCGTTATTATTTTAAAAATCGCCGTTGACACCCATGGCTTCTCGAAGTTTTTGAATTTAGCCGCATTAGTGCTTGGTACATATACTTCTCCGTTAGTTCCGTAATTTTTGTCTTAAAGAGACACCAAAGCTGTAAAACATCGAGGTTCTCACAATGACAATCAGAAACATACAAATGAGCAAATAATCCCTGTGATATAGCAGAGTATAATCACCCTTGTCATAAAAATAAACATTCCTAAATTGGCGTGGATTTGATTTTTTGATCTAATGTTTGATTGTTGCTACAACAGCGAGATGATCACTAATACCGAGAATGCATGTAACAGCTACTCTACTACATCTGGCGAATTGCAAAAAAAAGCAAGTCCAAAATGTTGTTTTCTTGTGGCCACACTAACATGTTGAGTAAGATCAAATATGACACGTGAACAATGTTTTCCATGTTAGTGTTTTAGCGACAACCAGTCAAGGTGATACGCGTTCCATTGAGTAGATTAAAATCACCCGCAAGAATAAGCTGGTCCGATGTCTTCGAAATAAAATGTTCCGGCAATAAATTTCGTATTGCCCGTAAGGGTCACCGTACACTAGACAGATTCTACGTCATCATATCCGATATTAAGTTCAGATGAACGTAAAAAAGGGTGAACCAATAGAAACACCCCTCCGCCTGTTCTTGCCCTATCATTTCGGTAAACGTTAAAGTGGCCAGGAAACACTTCACGATCACTGAGTGACGGTATATCAGCCACGATTCTGTCCCAAACACTATATCCGCTTTCGTCGATTCAATCAAGCCAGCGAATTCATTTATTTTATTCACACGACTTCTACAGTTTACAACAGCTGTTAGGTTGCGTAAAGATGAGAGTCTTACATGTAGGGTGTCACTTAATTCTTTTGAGCAGGAACTACCTTTTCTTTGATTTTGTCCCGCCTAAAGACCTTACCATCCACAGTAAGCTTGTCAAAACTTAGCTTGACCTTACTCCCGCTGTAGTCGGCTTTTAGCATAGTTCTACAGTCTCTTTCGGACCTCTCGGATTTCTGGAGCATAGTCCTCCATCTTACACTGTAATCAGACCCTTTGAATTTTTTAGCGTTTTTGAGAACATCCTTTTTTTTGTTGGAGGCGAAATTAACAGTAATTGGCCGGTTGTACTTTTTGTTAAATCAACCAATGCGGTGGGCTCTTTACACTGACATCAGCTGCATTTCAAGACGAGTTAGGCAGATCAGTTCTTCAGACTGAGCCCACGTTTCTGCCTTATTGTCTTCAACCCCGTAAAAAACCAGGTTGGCCCTTGGACTTCTACTTTCCAGGTCGGTATTTTTCGTTCGCAATTTCTGAACTTCCTTTTCGAGCTGTTCGACCACGGTTCCATGTCATTCTACTGCATCGTTAAGGATTTGAATCTGACCTTCAGCTTTACCAAATTTATCGTTTATTTCAGACAGCACTGCTTCATGTTTTGGTAGTTTTTCCTGGATAGCATTGAGCTTCTTCATCATGCTATTTTAACTTGCCTGCAAATTATTAATTATAGTTCACCTTCATTGGTGTAGCCAGGATTCATCTCCACATCACCAAAAAGGAGCAATAGTAGTATCAAATACAGTAACCGATTAGCAAATAAACGAAGCTTCTTATAGCCAGCTTGTTCTTTCATGCGTTTGCTACAACAACCAGAGCAGGTCGTCGTGGGAGGAGTCAGCAACGCATAAAATTTTCTACATACATGAAAAGGGTAGTGTTCACTAACTTGTAATACCAACAAAGGAGTTAGCTGCATGTCGGCTAGCGTGCCGGCTCCAAATAAAAAATGACGCCCACCATGAAGAGAACTTGGAACTAGTAGTGTTGCGCAAAAAAAATAACACGATAACTCCCACAGTAGCGCATCGTGTTCCTTCCTTTGTCCCGTGCTATGTGCAACACTACTCGTCCTAATGAACCAAGCCCATGTCGAAACCCTTTTGACGAGGTGAAAATTCTCCACGTATACGAACTACAAAGGTTTTACTCTTACCGTATTACTCTTAACGGGGCCTGATAACACTTTCACAATTATAACAACCGAATGGCTTCATTACAGGAATTTGTTTTATGAATCGACCTACCGCAAATATTTCCAGAATCAGTCACGTTCGAGCGGATCTAAAGATTCGTCCCAGACTGTAATTGCTGTATTTCTTCTCTTGTCCCGACAAGCACGCTGGAAGCAAAGCTGAGAGGTACGGCGCAGGTGGAAGAAGTAACGTCGTGACCTTCAGCGCTTCGAGCACACGGCTTACTTTGTGCATGACCGCGAGCATGTGGCGACCTCCTTTGGCGGTCACGGTAACTGTGCAGCTCACGATTCTCGCGACAACCGATGGCCGTGAATTCTTGCATGGGGCATCATTTGCAAAAAAGAGTAGAAAACAATTTTTAGCTGACCTTGAGAATTGTGAAGTCCAAATCGCGCGCTGCACTCTCGCGTTTGCCCCGCGTATTTCTCAGTAGCATCGACTACCAATCAGTAGAGTTTTCCGACCATGCTGAAGAGTTGTGGGTGCAAGAAGGGACTGTCTTTTCCCCCACATAACCCCTTCAGGCACAAATTATCATGCATCATCGATGAATGTGTCCAATTCACAAACAGAATTCCAACACACTCAGTATTACAATTCAAGAAAGAAAATGATGTGTTGTTTCATCAGAGTTTCAGCAACTAATTGTCAATTGTATGTAATAGAATACTTTTTTACGCAGTCAGTCATGTTTCATTTTGAGGGGAAAAAAATAACAGGCTCCTGATGCGTGTGCAATTAGTTTTTCATTGCCTTAATTTCGAGAAAAGAAAAGTAATGCTTTTGACGTTCGTTCTGGAATGCGCCACGTCGAACTGTTTATTGAACACTGTAGTGCCTCTACGAAACTGATTGGCTACGGCCATACGCAGCCGACTGTGGTCAAGTCCTACCGACAATGCAGAAAGTTCAATTAATTTAATGAATGATGCATTCCGTCCTGTTTTGGCCTCAAGTTGACAACCTAGTATAAAAACATAGTGAACACACACATAGCCACTGCAACTGAAGGGGACATACAAACTACTCTTACGGTGATATGAGGCGAGACTTTTCTCACACGAGACTATTTTCCCACTTGAAGGTATACGACATGAAGATTTTCCCACATATACAATCCATTTATACGGGCCTACGAGGTGAAGTTCTTCCCCAAAAAACAAACTATCCTTAATGGTAGGTATGATTTTGCTCTAAAAGAGTAGCATTTCTCATGACCCAACAAAATCCTGTGTCTATCTGTCTGTCTGTCAAAAACAAACTATTCTTAAGGGTATCATTTGAAGATTTTTCCATGTAAATGATGAACACTTTCAAGAGTATAATACGACATTCAGAAGAATATATAAAGTGACACCAACAAAAAGTTGAAACCGATGGCTTTTATTGATGCGTTCTGGTACACTAGGAGAAAAATCAATCGGGCCTGCAAAAAAAAAAGACAAAAGCAGAAAGACGAGTCCCAAACACAACGAAGACAGAAAAAGACATCTACACCCGATTATCCCAAACTGCAAACTGTTACTGTGAATTGCCACAAAAGAATGCTGTATGTCAGATTAGGAAATGTGCTTAAGTGAGAACAGACGTTAAAAAAAAAAAAAAGGTACACGTTACGATTGCAAGCTACGTGAATGACTCTCCAAGTCTCTGCTTTAACCAGTGTCCACCTGATCTTCTGACATACAAAACTTCCAGCACACAAGAAAAAACAAACTTCACGCATCTACTACAAGGGGCACACATAAAACTAGGAGAGAAATAACACTGCTAGCAGGGGCTGCATAAAGTTCACACACAAAAAGAAAGGTTAAAAAAACAGGCCATAAAAAAAAGGTAGGAAGCACACAGCATGTTTGTCATACACTTGCCGGGAAATAGCATGGCAAAGGGCATAGGCTACACAAGCTGCTGCTGCTTATTACTCCACTTCAACTTCTTCCTTTTGCCAAAGCAATTCTGCAGCCTTTCAAAACACTTGTAGGGCAACTCCCACTAGCGGTGTCGAAAATCGAACAAAACACCAGGTTTCGCCACCTGTGAATGAGTCCCTCCCCCTCCCGGAGCACAGGCAGTGGCGTCACCTACCAACGGCCACTGACAACTCTCCCTCCTCAGACAAACCCCCGAAGCAGACTCTGAAACGCGTAACCTCCTGTCGACGACATTTGTGCTCTTTCTATAAGCCAGGCTCGGCAGCAAATGCCGCTGGCAGAGGCGTATTATGCTAGTTGTTGCGACAGATGTCTAGCGTGCTCCATGGGTGCGAGAGGGAGGCTGTTGGGGAGGAGGACAGGAAGATGGCTACCACGGTCATTGGCTGGGGCGTGCTGGCAGCCCCGGAGTCTGTTTCTTTCCCCGTGGCGGTCGCTTGTCGTACAGAGAGACTTCAGGAGAGCGTTCTGCTTTTAAAAGCCGACGTAAGGAGTGTGTTGGTTGGCGGTGGTTGTCGTGGCGATGACATTACTGCGAGGCGCGCACACCGGCTCTCCTCTTCTTCACCCTGTCATTTTCTTTTCTATCTTTTTTTTTTCTTTCCCCAGTAAGGGTTACTGCAGAGGGGGGCTGCCTTGCGTTTTGCTGTTGATCTTGGGTGCCATCGTTGTCGTCGTCTGCTGTCCCGCGTCGTCTGCTGGAGCCAGGAAATCCAGTTGCCCCCCACTCCCAGGGGGGGCTGATGTGGGTGGCGGATCACACCCAAGGCGTCCAGCCTTCGTACAGCAGTGCCAAGTTCTCCAGGCGTGTGGCCTCGCTGATGATGTGATCCACCTGTGAAAGAGAAGGGTAGAGACAACGTTCGCGAGAAAGCAATTTCTGAGAGGCCACACCCGTACGAACCCCATATAATGCAAGCAAGGGACAATGGTGTATTTTGCCATCAAACCACATTCGATTGTCATGGGAACAATGAAAGTATACCATGGCATAAAGAGCTTGTTTAACAAAGAAAGCTGTTATGAGATCACAACTCGGGTCACGTGCAGTTGTCTGCCGCCCCCACCGGGGCCAGTAACCACATCGCGCTAAATTAGAAAAAACCTAACACCAATGACACAATGAGGCTCAAACCTGGGTCCACTGGGTGCCAGCCCAGTATTCTACCACTGAGCCACGCTGGTGCTTGGGACTTGTTGCAAACTTGTCTAAGGCAGGCTTGATGGCGGGAAAGCAGTCGCGTTAATATGAATAATAAAGCGTTTTAGAACAGAAAAAGAACAACGAGGCGTCACACAATGTGAATAGTGTAACAAATAGGTCGTCAAATGCTCCAATTCATTAAAAAAGCTTTAACTGTGGCGCATACCCACTTCACGCATAATTCCCTATCGTCGTCAGCCACTGCATGCACCATTGGCACAAAATCCCTCGCAAGTGTTCAGCGGATACCACACTTCTCAGAAGAATGATGAAAAATAGCATAGCGAATGCCAGCCTACTACCCAAAAAATTTTATTATTATGCCCTAGTGGGTATCAAACAAGTGTGCTCGTAGTAGTCACCCAATGAGCATTTTAAAAGGCTCTGAAAGGCCGCTCTTCTAGCTTTCGCTGTGACTGTGCTGCGCTTTGCGTGCAGGCCTGGCTTTTTTTTTTTTCAATGAAGGAGCTCTGGCACGAAAATTTGAATACAATATGACTGTTATATTGCACTGCTGGGATCAGATGAATCATCTGTACAATATCAGCCACAAACACAGACGAAAATGTATTCTAATTGAGTTTCGAGGTCTGTGCGACTATACGAACTGAATGTAGTACCAATCAATGCACTCATAGCAAGTGATGCATGGCAGCTGTTATCACCTGCTCGGCGATGCTGGAGCGCTTGGTGCTGTCAGGGTCACGACCGTCCAACTTCATCTTCACCCTCCGCCACACTCCCACTGCATAACTGTTGCGCTCTTGCAAAGCTGCACAGAGAGTGGAGCCAATCAATTTCTGCACACAACGTCAGGGCAAATAGCACAGATTAGCTGGTCTTGTCGAGAGGCCAGAGAAAACGGAGGAACAAAGCTAAATGTACAAGATCAGCAACTTCTGCTTGAATACATTCATGATTAAGAGTGATGCATGGAGCTGTGTTCGGTGTGTAGTAACAATGTCTCCGGATTTGAAGGAAATTCCCAGTACTGCATGGCAGTCCCAATGTGTTTGTGTAGATGCCAATCTATGTCCAGCAGAATCTCGGTGATACGACACTCAAAGGGTAGTGAAAATATTCGCATGACCCTAAATTTCATATCATCAAGGGGGAATGACAAGAAAAATCAACTGAAAATGCCATTCTTCAGTTTTCATAGCCCGTTATTCCAGCATTACAGACAAGTGCTTCGACAAAGTGACGAGTTTGTATGCGCAGTCGAATAAATTTAAAAACGACCCCAATCACACCTGATACCATGTCTGCACCACGGCAACTCGACCTTTATATGGCGTTTTCTCTTACCACTACTCTTCGTCAAAAAGGAACATTATCACTGTAACCACTACAGCTATCATGTCAAAAATTTTGTGCATTCTTTCTGAATAGGGTGTGCCCATTTTGAACCAAGATAATAGTGTTGCCACCATAATTGTATTTTTACGAACAATCTTGTCATCAAACATCTAAATATTTAACTAAAGATTGGGCATGCCTACAATTAATATTTTGGTTCAAAAGGATACCTTGGGCACATGTAATAACCAGAAGAGATCTCACGATTTTACATGCAAAATCGTTTTCACAAATGTTCCTTCAAAAAATAGAAATAATCAAATTATATATTTTTTATTATTTTCAGAAATAGCTTTGTATTTTCTTGCCAAATTCACAGGACATCTAGTAGTAACATGTCCATTCAAGCTACTAGCAAAATTTTGTGGAGTTTGCTTTTAAAGGGAACCGAGCAATGGGCAGCAGTAGTTCCACGCCTGTCTTTGCTGTCCAAGCCCCTCTTAAAAACTAGTGAAATCTGTTTTCTAATCGTAACGTTGGCACGGAAAATTTATGCTTGTATAAATGACTTGCGTATGTTTTTCTAACCTACATGTCAACGAACCATTAAGAGATAGTACAGCTGGCTGTGCAGACACTCTGCTTCGCATGAGGTCAATCGAAAGCGAAGTGCTAAAGTCCACTCTACCACAGCAGCAAGTCGAAAATGACAGGAACGCTGAAACGTTTCATGCCTTTTCAAGACTTTACTGCCTTTACTCTACCACTTGGTTAGTCGCATACCATCGGAGTGCATAGTAGCTATCGATGACCGCTTTCATAACGAACACACTTCTGTGCACTCCATATGCAGCTAAAAGTATACCGTGATTACTCGTGTAATGAATGGACTCGCATAATAAATGCACCCCCCAACTTAAGTTGTCAAATTCTGGATTTTTTCCCCCTCGCAAAATAAACGCACCCCCTACACTCATCTGCTGCCGTCCTGCTAACCGACACCTGGTGCCTCCTTGCCCGTTAGATCTCTTCAGTTCTTTATTATTATGCCAACCCCTCTTGGCCACCTCGACTCACCCCCTCCCCCTCGCCTTGTTGTTCTTTCTATCTGTGCGTGGCACGAGCAGATAGAGCGGGTTTCACAAACGGGGCGGCCATAGAGACATCGCAGCTGACAAGCAGACAGCAAGGAAAGGTCACGAAACTGCCCGCGCCAACCAACGGTCGCTTCCTGCAAATAGGAAAATTTAAGGCCCAACGACATGCACGTGATTTTCAAGCTTGCCGCCAAGTTGGCAAAGTGCGTCGTAGCACACGCTTCTGGGTGCCCCTCAAGATCACAGCAGATACCACTGTTGCTCTTAAACGATTGCGAGAAAAGTTAGCAGCAAAACGTTTTTATGGCGTGCACGAGCAGCAGCGCGGGAACGTCTAGCAGAAGATTGCGCCATCAACCCCCAAAGATGTGTGAGGTAAAAAAAAAAAAAAGCTGTTTCCGAAAGCGTACGTGTATGTCAATTGCGAAAGGCTAAGTGATTTAACTTTTTTTTTTTGCATTACCGCATTTCTTGCACATCCCAAAAAGTTTTCGTAAAATTTGCCCCGCATAATAAACGCACCACCAACATTGTTCCGATATTTCGAGAAAAACATTGGGTTGATTACGCAAGTAAATACTGTAGTTCCTTTTCAATCTTTGTGGGCAAGATGTGCACATGCCTTCAGTCCGTTGTTGCCATCTATGAATGCGTCTTCCGTGGCTTTGTTTGCCGCGGTTGTTGCAAGAAGCAGTGCTTTGGCTTCGTCAATAGATGTGCATTTCATCATCACCATACACGATCGCTTCAAAAAAGACCGTGGTTTCGCCAAGCAGTTGTGGCAAACAATAAGCGCAGTTCGAAGTGCGTGTGTGTGCTGGTCTTGCACGTGCCGTATTTACACGATTGTAAGACGACTCGAATGTAAGACGACCCCCCCAAAATCGCATCTAAAAAAAAAAAAAAAAGAAAACTCACGTAGGCCGCAAGCTTCGCCTCTAGTTCCGGAAAGCGGCCAGACTTCGGCCCGCGAAAGCCACGGCGCTTGGAGTCGCACGAGAAAATTTCCTCGCGCTGAAGCCGCCACTTCTGCACCACCGCACCACACATTCACCGATTCCGAACTTTCGTCCTCATGTCACGGCACTCATGTCAGACAGAAGTGACTCGAGAGAGCCGGTCGTGGACACAAGCGACAGGAGCACACGGCGACGCGCCCGCTTAGAAAATTGTATCACAAAGAGGAGCTCTTCCGTCAACTACCAATACCCCCCTACGGCGGCTCTTCCATCGATTACCGGTGCTCCCTCAAGAGCCGTGCGCTCGTCATAAAGGCACTCGTAATGCGCGCAGTAGATGCTAAAAAAAGAAAAGCTTTTGTATAAGCGCGCAGAAAACTATGCGCTTTGGGTTGAGCGGGAAACTATTCGAGATGACAATACATATGGTTCGATTTCGATTCTAAGACGACCCCCCAACATTGGATTGTCAAATTTGAAAAAAAAGGGTCATCTTACAATCATGTAAATACGGTACTTTCAAAGCTTTCAGTGAACGCTGCTCTCGTCCGTCTCTCCACAATTTTGGGATTAAAGTTCGTATTGCCTGTCATGATGCAGCAAAGTGTTCAGAGGAATCTGAATTTATTTTTAGGAGCGAAGCACCTCAGGCCCACGCGCCGCCACCACAGTTGCCAAAGCTGCCTGCACCGGGCAAGCGCGCGGAGCAAAACAGCAGGTGCGCTCCTGGCATGTGGCTCGCACTGCATCGCCCGCGCGCGCCATACACTCAACTTGATTAGTCGTTCCCACCACCGAGCGCAGCAAATGCCTCTCTCCACCCGCTTCCCACCCTACACAATTCATGAAACACGGCAGCGAGATCAGGCACGTAGTCGTTTGCGTCCTATTTCTAAGAAGCCTCGCTCTTTGGTTTTATTCACACATGAAGCAACTGCCAGTTTTTGTTTTTGAAGACGATCAGTTGAGACAGACAATGACATATTTTATTTTATTTTATTTTATTTTTATTTAGGAATACTGCAGGCCTTAATAGGCCCAGGCAGGAGGGGAAAAGTACGAACAAAAGTACAAAGTCTGCAAATATCAAGAATATATACAAGTAGGATCTATACAAAGCAACAACAAAGTGAATCTACTAACAAGTAAATGAGTACTAAAAGAAATGTGATACAAAGAAAAAATAATATACAATATGAGAAGATAAACAATACAGAACTATCTAATCAATGTACAAAGGAGTTAGTAAAATACTGGATCACTGTATTGAAAGAGGAAGGGCTAGATCTAAGATGAAATGGATGCGATAGAGTCGGTGTTGCTGAGTGTACTAAGAGGTAGGCTGTTCCAGTCGGCTACTGTTCGAGGAAAAAAGGAATACTTAAATATGTTGGTTCTGGTATTGTAAGGCGTTAATGTGGCAGAGTGGCGATGTCTTGTTCGGCGAGCAGTGAGAGGCTTTATGTAAGGTTCAGGAGAAAGAGACAATTTATTTTTATACAGTAAGAATAGAAATTTAAGCCTGTGAATTTTTCTTCTTAGTTGCAAGGACTGAATGTTGTGTTGGGCCATTATGTCACTTGGAGAGTCACTGGTGCGATATTTGGAGAAGATGAATCTTACTGCTTTACGTTGGATCCTTTCTAGCGCATCGGTGTTAGTTTTAGTGTAAGGATCCCATACGATAGCTGCATATTCAAGCTTAGGACGGACAAGAGAGGTATAAGCGGTTAGACGGGTCTCGGGAGGAGCATGTTTTAATTTGTGTCTGAGGTAGCAGAGTTTTTTGAAGGCTGAGTCGCAAAGGTGAGAGATGTGGGAGTTCCAACTGAGATTATTAGTTATGATGACACCCAGGTACTTATATTCATCAACCTCTGTAAGAGGCATGGATGCAAGATTATACGTAAACGAAAGTTTATTAATTTTTTTGGTGATTTTCATAAATACTGTTTTATCAATATTAAGCTGCATGTCCCAGCGTTCGCACCATGTTAAAATTTTTTGAAGGTTAGAGTTTAGGGTGATTTGGTCTTGCTGGCAGGTAATTTCATTAAAGAGTAAGCATTTCATATCGGACATTTCATATCCTCTGAAATGTCCGACGTTAATGCGATGACAACCACTTTCACCTTTTCCTGTTCTCGGGTCCTTTGCCACTTTCCGGTCGGGCGTCTGCTCGACGCTCTTGCTGACAGTGTAGTTCTTTGGAGAGTCAAGGCCATCTGGAAAAAAAAGAAGGAAATTAGAAAGGGAAGACACAGTCAGAGTTGCAATCTGCATTTTCTTGGCACTTAGGTGCTTTTTTTTATTTATTAAAGTGACTGGCACAGTATAGTTACCCCATTAATTATCCAAGCTTTGTTACATTCAGAGAAAATTGAAATATATTTCAGTTTTCTTTTCTACATCACTTTTGCAGTTTTCAGAATTCTACCGATCTGCGATTTCAAAACGTTTTCAGTGGAAACTGAGTATTGTATGCACTGCACAAATTGGTGGTACAATGCACTTTTTTTAATGAACCATTGCCTTTAATAACCCAATGCTTCACAAAGTGACCCTAAGCTACCATCAGTGAAACTGCCCAATCAATATGGGGATGCAACATAAAAAGTGTACAATTAAGGCTTCCTGTAACAAGACATTTTGGATAAACATATCTCTATTACATCATAACAACAAAAGGAAAGGATCGGAGGCTCGCTCTCTGTCAGACACAACGCAATGACTGTGCATTTTTTTATAAAAAACTAAGTTACGGGGTGATTCCACGAGAGATCGACACGGGTCCAAAAGTTGATATTTTAGATTTCATTGAGTACTTTATATTTCGTGCACCTCTCACCAGGTAGCCCGAAATTCAACTTTGTTTTATGATTAACGACATAACTTACGAGAAAACAAATATCAAACTTCACCAACACGGAGGCACCAATTTTGTCACCTGTCATTTTCGAAAAATGCAGATGCTATAAAAAGAAATATTTTTGTTTCAAGGAAGATGTTTTTTACCTGAAATGCATGTCTAATGAAGAATGGATCATACAGTTTCAAGTTTGTAGACCTTAAGAAAATAGCTTTTAAAAATGTCTAATTTTGTGACAGTTTGAAATAAGTTACGTATTCCCCATTTTCTTTCTCCGAAAGTAATGCGAGCAGCGTTTTCAAACTTGACACGTTTTAAGGATATAGTGTGTTCATTAGGTACATAAATTATAGCTGCCGTAGGGCAAATGTAAATTTTTATATATTGCCTCAAAGTTCTCATATTGGCATAAGTGTACTCCACGAAATTTGAATAATAAAAAAACCCCATCTTCGATTTTTCTTAAATTCTCGTAAATAGACAACCGAAGGCCATCATACAGTAATATAGAAAAACATGTTGCATTATTTTGTTTTTAGCGACAATATTCGTGGTACAAATCAGACCTTTTCGAGAATGCGCTGATAAGTTGAGAAATCTAGAAATCGGAACGGAAAAGCGGCAATAAACTTCAAACGCGAGTAAACGTGACCGCATTTGGTGAAGAAAGGCTGTTTTAGCAGATAGGAGTAACTATTTTGAACAAGGTATTCTACAGTATCTGAATTCACTCTTATACGTAGAGCACTGAGACTTCTAATATGTGGTGCCTCTCCATTACTGACACACAGATGGAGCTGCTGTGACGGCCATGTGTTTGCAACCCGTTGGGTAAGAGAACTGAATGTTGAATGAGTTCATAAACGAGTCGTAACAAGTTTTTATCATTTGGGGCACGAAGACTGCCGCATTAGACTGAAGAACACACTTTAGGGCAAGTTGTCATCCGTCGTCTGCTCTACAGATGAATTGCTGTGCGCCGCATCTCGGAGGCAATGCTTTTAGATCATATGGTTCAAAGTAGGGAAAAACATTACGCCTCCCGTAATTTCACTGACAAAAACATTGTGAAATTCATTTTAACGTACTATACTTCAGTTTTGCATTCGCACTGTGGATGGATATTTGTGCACAAGTATCCATGCGCTGTACTCACCCTGAGCGTTAGCCAGCTCTGTGAGCCCATTGTAGACGCGAGGTACCATGGCGATGAGCTCGGAGAGGGCCTTCTGGGCGCTCTCACTAGGCGTGGCATCGGGGGCCAGCAAAGTCCTCACCAGTTCAGATGCACGCTCGGAGAACTGGAATTCCCAAAGAGTGATGAAAGAAAAAAAGCGATCGAGATGAATTGCAGAGAACTAAGAGATAAAAGAGTACAAGGACACACAATATTTTCACGACATAGCCTACACAATATGAAGGCATGTGCTCTGAAAGTTCTAGAATCTTCTGCAGTGTACAAAGGGCAAGGTTCGGAGGTGCACAGCATGGCACTTCAAGATTGTTCACTATTGCAATAAACGGCCTTGTCCGATAGCCCAGTAGCAACAGTTGCTGGTTCCTTTGCAAACTGACTAACGAATGGAACATGGTGTAGGCGAACTGGTGTAGCACTTGCGCACATCACTGACCAGCCACTGCGTGCACCTTGACCACTCCATATGCTCTTTTTTATTGTCGCAATAGACCGGTCAGTGAAGAACGACTGAATAATCTATCGTCCCATCCACTTTCAAAAGTGACGCTGGGACTGAAAGTGCATTAGTGTGGGAGCTAAAGTTAATTTTTAGTACAACCCGACATTCTTTATGTGTAGCTAAACCCAATTGGTCACAATGCACCTTCATTGTGTCTTCTTGTCCGATGTGTCCATGTCCGATATGTGAATGCGTAAGATTTAACCATACCCTATATATATTTGTGTGTGCCTTTGTGTGCATGTGCTGTATTTACACAACTGTAGGTGGACCATTTTTTTCTTAATCTGAAATCCGAAATTGGGGGGGGGGGGGGGGGGAGTCGACCTGGAATCAAAAACGAGTTTTGGTTGCAAATACTTTCTGAAAATGATCTCTGCCTATTTTCGCAAAGCTAGCTTTTCTGCGCAACTTTCAAGTACTGCTGTGAAGCCACCTTTGCACATCTGTGGTTTTACAAAAAAACAAAAAGAAATTGTGCTCGTGCTCTTTTTTCTCTTTTTTTTATGCCATGCAATTTTTCGGGGGTCGACCTACATTAGACTCGACTTCGTGTAAATATGGCATGTTATGCAAGCAAAATTGAAAAATCTGGGAGAGGGGAGTGAACCACCCAAACTGGCGTTGGCTAAGCTTTGGGTTGTACCATGGTGGTACTCCAGCTTCACGGAGTGCCACGCCTGGTGCAAGAGCTCACCTGCCGGTATGTGGCTAGGTACTCCTGCACGGCCATGTCCTCCTGTCGTGCCAAAGACTTGAGCAGCGAGCGCAGCTCGGACAGAAGTTCGTGGTGCTTGCCCAACACGTCAGCGCGCAACGCCGACACCTGCGTCGAGCAGAAGCAATCTCATTACTAGATACAGAAAGAGGCTACCATGTGTTGGAGAACTTTGGCTTCGGCTGCAAGAGATTCTGTGGAGAGATGCATGAAATGATATAGATGCTGCAAGAGATGCATGAAATAATATAGCATAGTAATACATGCATATATGGTCGAATCTCATTAATTCAAACACGCTTAATTTGAACTTCTGGTTAATTAGAACTGACGCTGTGGTCCCGTCAAAGCTATGTGAATTCTAACGGGTGAAAACGCCCTGTAATTCGCACGCGCAAGCTGCGACGGTTAATTCGAACATACCACGCTCCAAAAATGCTCTTAGCACCACGCCCAATCCCGTGGCAGCACCTCAGACACGGCGACACCTCAATGCTGTGCGCGAAGAAAAGAAAAGGCTGCAGCAGAATGTTGGCTCTATCTCAAATGCCTATCTGGACACGCCTGTGCCGTGCTTCTCCCTTTTCCGTCCCTGCCACGTAGAGACCCCTCTCCTTTCAACACCGCACGCGAAGAGAGAGGTAAAAAAAAAAAGCGACCGCGGCGTGTTGGCTGGCCACGCTGCGGCTGCGATGCAGAGGGTAGCAGTGTAAACGCAGTCCTCATCGTCTTTAGAGAGTGTCGGATATACTGTCGGCGCTGGACATTGCTGCGCGCAACTTCTCTTGCCAGGAGATTGCTGAAGCCGAAGTAGAAATGCTTTGCAAGCTGCATGTGAACTGATTGACTCGCTGCAAGGTAAACATGTGCAGACATGCATCACCAATTACTTCAATTTATGACGAATGTTTTGCGATTTGTGGATAAATGTAAATCTTCTGAAACTTCCCCCTCGTGTGTTAGCTTAATGCACATGCGCCACTGCATGGTGAGCCCTCCGTTCATTTAGCTTTCATTCATTGGAATTTATTCTAATTTGAACAAATTTTCGCGCCCCTTAGAGTTCGAATTATCGCGATTCGACTGTATGAGGTTTGAGTGCACTTCGACAACAGTAAAAGCTCTTTAATTCGAACCGCAAGGGGAAGCCGCCTCAGTTCGAACTAACAAAAGTGAAGAACAACAATAGTACACTGCGAGTAGGGCATAACAATTTATTTTTTGAAAAAAATCTGTGATCGCGGTCTGCCTTCTTTCCTTGAAGGCGACAGCCAGCACTTTTTGCTGTAACAAGCGAATTTGGCGGAAGACCTCTTCTCCGCCTTCTTCAAAACTTAAGAAAAGACGGGCGGCATTCAATCCGGCCATGACTTCCGCAGCAGAGGGCCGTACTGGTGCTTCGCCCTCATCATCGTCACTGGCAGCGACAGGTTCTGCACTTCTCACCTGACATATTATGTCGCCATCCGTGAGTGCACCACACACCACAGCACTTGAGTCCACATCGACGTAGTCCGCAAAGCAGACGTCTTCCAAAACGTCCGCCATGGGGGCAGTGACGCCGTGTTCGAGCACTGGTGGCTCGTCAGCTTGCCGAGCTTCAGTGCTGAAGTTACAGTGGCGAAAGCAATTTGCTATCGTAAGCGCTGTCACTTGCTCCCAAGCACGCACAAGCATGTGCAGTGCACTTAGGAGCGTCACTTGGTAGTTATTGCACAAAATAATTCGTTCCAACATATGACGCAGATAAAATGATTTTAAATTTCTAATTATACCCTGGTCCATGGGCTGCAGTACCGCTGTCGTGTTTGCTGGAAGGAAAACCAGCTCAATGACCTTCGCCTAAACGCTGACTTTATGAGCCGAACAGCTGTCCACAAGAAGCAGGACTTTGCAGCCACAGCGTTCGAAATTCTTTTCAAGATTCCCCAGCCACTGCGCGAACGATTCCCCCGTCATCCAGGCCTTTTTGTTGGCCGCATAGTCTGATGGGAGGGACCGGATGTTCTTGAAGCAACGAAGACTTCTCGATTTGCCTATCACAAACAGAGGCAACTTCTCGGTCCCGGTCATGTTCGCAGCAACCATCACAGTTATCCGTTATTTACTTTTCTTCCCTCTTGTGCACTTGTCACCTTTATACGTGACAGTTTGGGCGGGCAGAAATTTGAAAAATAAGGCAGTTTCATCCGCATTAAATATGTCCCGCGGACAATACTTCTCCATGTAGCCTCGAAGCACTTCGGAGCGCCAACCTTCGCACGTTTCCATGTTGACGGCGGTCATTTCACCCGATACAGTACGGAAAATGAGGTCGTAGCGCTCGCGAAAAAAACGGTGCAACCACCCATCTGAAGCAGCAAAGTCGTCATTGTTTAGCTGCAGGGCGAAGTCCGCTGCCTTTGCCAGTATGACTTGGCCACTCAGTGGTATGTCCTGCGAACGCATTTCCTTTATCCAAATGAGAAGCGCTTTCTCGAAGTCAGGGTACTTTGCAGGCCGCAACTTCCTCCTTTTGCTTGCAACTTCTGCCTCTAAGGCGTCTTCAATAGTCCTCCTATTTTTTACATAAGTAGATAGCGTCGTTTTCGGTATCCCAGGCCTTTTTGCGATATCTTGCTTAGGCAAGAGTCCGGCATCCACGTCCCACAGGATATCAGCTTTCTCCTGAAGCGTTTTGGCACGGTATTTGCCGCGGGCACACGCCATCAAGTCGGAGCAGCAGAATCGCGGCAGACGGGAAGCTACTACCGGCGCTACCGCAACAAATGTTAGCCGAGGCCTAACACCAACACGAAAAATCGCGACACAGAAGCTACTCCTAGCACCAACAACCGAGGTGTACGACGCACGCTCGAGACAGAGACTGCAGAGAAGGCTGGGCGAAGCTACAAAGCACCCGATTTGCTGTGTGATGGTCATACCATCTGTCGTCTAGCAGCGACAACTACGCAGGATTTTCAAAGGCTTCGAGATTGGTGCTTAAAAAAAAAATCTTGAAGGTTACTTAGGACAGAGAGCAGGCAGTCGCCGAGAGAGGGAGATTGTGAGGGAGGGGGGTTGAAGAGTAAGTGGCGCTATTTTCTGCACTCTGGCCTCCGTGCCAGTTTCTCAGTATTTCTCTCCGCTCCCTGTGCACGGCGCCTTGTAACTCGACAGCCGCCCTATCGAGTGACTAGCCAAGCCGCCGGCGCAGTGGCGCATAGATCGATTTATCCGTGGTGGAACGTACTCGCGTTCGAATTAACAGGCTTTTTTATTCATAGGCTTGTATGGAGCTTGGCTGGACCGTAACTTACAGTTTGAATTATCCATGAATTCGAATTATTGAAGTTCGAATTAACGAGCTTTCACTGTATTCATTTCCCGGGCACAAATTTGCCCACAAAGGAGTTTTGTCTTTAATTAACAGACCTACTACTGCCTTCTTTATCATCACTACCTCGTGACAACATTCTTTTCTTTGTGTGTCTCATTTCATTTGTGCCTGTCCCAGGTTCCTGTTGGCTGAAGTTGGTTTGATGACATTTTTGAAAACATTTCCACGTGCACTTTGTCTTCTCGCCTTTTGTTTTCTCGTCCATTGTGTGCACACCAAAATGTTTCCGAGAATGTCACCGTACGAGAAGCATTATACGCAATGGAGCTCTCACCTGGTTTTGCAGGGCTTCCTTGGCGGCGTCTCGGCTGGTCTTGGCCTGCTCCAGCTGTTCCCGGCAGGCACCGAGCGCCACCTAGAAGTAGCACATGGCCCAATGTTAACTGATTATACGGGTATCCTAAACTTGGGCTGGGTACCTACGTGCCCCTATTCTAAGCCTGTCTGTCCTCATTACAAACTGTGGAGGGACGTGGTACATTGAAATGCAGTCACAAATTGATGCTTCAGATGCTGACAGTACCGGAAAAACACCAGCCACTGAGGAAAAAAACAACAAGAACACAGGCTTATAGCAACGACAAGCTTTACAGTGCACCAGCAGTAATGAATACAAGCGAACTGCCCTCTCCTTATTGATGTACTTTGTAAATGGCTTGTTCTTGGCCTGAATACATAAACAACATTGGGTCGTTGAATGCCTTCCAGAAATATACAAATAAAATGGCAGTTCGGTGACATTTCACTTCTTTTTGTTGTTCTGTCAGTGCATCTTTGTAAACGTTGCAAGTGACGCTAGCCAAAGTTGTCACCAGCAATTTCTCTCCAAGAGATTAAGTAGTCCCAACCATAGATTGTCAAAAAATGCAGAGCTCACCTAGACTCGCAAAAAAATGTATCTTGGACTTAAGAATCGCTCGACATTAACCTCAACAAATTTTTTCCTTACTGGATTCACCAGTCTCAGGCTGACTATACTCTTCCTTAACCAGATTCACTCGGACTCAAGCTCACCACCACATTACTCACCTGGGCTCACTCGGATTCATACTCGCAGCTTAATCCGAGCGAAGCGGGTCTAAGCGAGTCAAGTCACGAGTGAGTTTGCCGAGCTATGGTCCCCACACGCACCTTGTCGAGGAGCGAGCGCAGCCACTCGACGCTGGCCTCGTTGGGCAGGGGTGCCGCCCCTTGCAGCTGCAGCAGCTGCTGCTCGGCGGGCGCTATGGGTGCGGCGTTTTCGGCCAGCATGCAGCTCTCCTGGCATTGGTTGAGCAGGCCCAGCAGGCTCGAGTCCCACGCCAGGGTCTCGGTGGTCCGCGTGCGCAGGGCCTCGTGCAGCAGCAGGGCCTCGCTGGCGTCACACACCTCCATGGCCAGGTCGCTCATCATCTGCACACGAATGCAGACACGGCCGTCACTACTGTGACAACTGAACCAATACACTTTTTAACAATGTTGCAGAGTTCAAAGATTGATATATGAGCAAAGATATGGCAAACTAATACTGTTATAGTGCTTATGTTCTAGTGAATTGGCTACTATTGTACAGCTGTGTAAATAGCAAAGTTTTGGGTGGGAAGCAAAGTCGAATAAAAAATGTTGAATTCCAATGACAGAGTCGGGGCAGCCGATAGACTCTGCAAGCGAGCACGCGACCCTGGCACAAAGCAACGCCTCCAAATCCACGACTGGAACACAATCCGCACTGCCGGAGCAAGCATGGGGAGCAGGTTAGAAGTGGAAGTCCTTGAGATGTTAAGAATACCTTGCCTGTAGTTATACCATTCCACTTTGTGGTGACCCCGCTACTAACGGCAGCGGACGATCACCGCGGGTTGACGCTTAGCGAGCCACTACTCCGTTTACTCGCGTGTAGCGCACCGCTCCGCGCACGCTCAACTAATAAGGCGTTTAGCGCGGCGCGGCAAATAGACAGTGTTCTAATGCAAAAGTACACAACACTTTATTGCCTCTGGCGGCACCCTGAACAACAGTACAACGTCCGCTTCCGGGACGCGGGAAGGAAAGGCACCCGCACGCGGACGTTCACAATAAGGGGAAAACCGCGAGCCCGTCGCAGCTGGCAATGGCGAGCTTTGACACGCCGGTCGGGAAAAGGTCCCTCGCGGCTATGCTGCGCACTCTCACGATGGCCAATGGGCCTGGTCGCGAGTGTTAGGGCAAACCTCGTACGCGTAGGCCTACGGCAAGTGCGGCTCGTTGTGGTACGACCACTTCAAGCACTAGGCACCGCTCTGGGCTTAGCGTACGCTCCGAAGCTAGCACTCAAGTAAACACGCCTGCCGAGGTGCCCAAGGCACCCCAGGCAGGCTACCGTCCGCGATTCCCAAAGGGGACGCGGACGAAGGAAAACACGTGCTTACCCGGCGCCGTCCACGGAGAAAGAGACCGCTCCCTCGACGCGCGCAGTGGCGCGCGCCGTGCCCGCACGTGGCGCCATCTATCGCCACGTGGTGTTAACAGAGTAGGAAAGCGAAAGGGTGTGGCCGTGTGGCGGAATGCCCGCGAAATGGTCGCGGACGCGCCTCAGATCCCCACAACTTATACCACTGTTGAATTCTGTTGAATTACCGCTTGAACGCGATAGTTTCAGTGTCGCTGTCATTGGCCGGTGAATTGAAACTTTCAGACTCCGAGCTCTCGCTGATGTGGCCAGGCAGCCATGTCGTCCACCATTACTGCCAGAACGTGACAGCAAAACAGTAATTTCGGCACATTTGCCAAATTGGAGGAAAAAACCCTTCTGTTCCATTCGAGCTATCAGCATAATTCTTTTGTTGTTGTTTTTTTGCCAGAAAAATAAATGCATGCAGTATGCAATATGCCTGTTTTGAAAGCAATACACAGATAAAAAAATTCTTAAATAGGATCGCATGCATGACAGGTGAAGGTGGCTTTTTTTTTCTGTGAACATTGATGTCCTTTAACTCTTGTTGAAATTGGCCCAGCAAATAGATTTATAGCATATTGCACTCTTTAAACATCCTACATTGTTCCTAACCTGTCGCGCGACACTGTTTTGGTGCTTCCTGCTTAGATGCTAATTTGGCTCCAAACTAAGGACCCAGGTTATACATTGATTGTGGATATCTCGGAAACTACTTGACCTATCAAAAATGTAATTGCATTTTTAGAATCTGCACGTCTAAATACATAAATTTTGAAAATATCGTTCAGATATATACAGTCGAATCTCGATAATTTGAACCCGAAGGGGCCCGAAAATTTGTTCGAATTAATGAAAGCTAAATGAACGGAGGGCTCTCCATGTAGTGGCACATGTACATTGAGCTAACACACGAGGGGGGAAGTTTTAGAAGAATTACATTTATTCACAAATCACAGGACATCCGTTATTAATTGAAGTAATCAGTGATGCACATCTGCACATGTTTGCCTTTCAGCATGCTTGCAAGGCATTTCTATTTTGGCTTCAGCATTCTCCTGGCAAGAGAAGTTGCGCGCGGAAATGTCCAGCAGTGACACTTTCTAAAGACAACAACGACTGCATAGCGGAGCCTCTCTGCTACGCAGCCGCAGCATGGCCAGCACGTGACGAGAAAGGAGGAACATCACCACGCGGGAAGAAGCAGATCGGCATTTGAGAGAAAGCCAAAACTCCACGGCAGCTTTTTTTTTTTTTTTTTTTGTTCCTTCGCGCGCACGGTTGAAAGGAGATGGGTTACGTGGCAAGGACGCGAAAGGAGGAAGCGTGGCACCGGCGCGTGAGCGACCCCCTCCCCCCCTCAAGGTGCAGAGCCGTGCTCCCGCAAGGTGCAAGGGCGGCAGAAGACAGTACCTTTGATATTGCCTTTTTTCTTTCCTTCAACCACACATTCATTCAACCCAGCGACAGCTTTCTTTTTTTTTTCCTCTCTCTCTTCGCACACGGCGTCAGAAGAAGGGTCTTAACGTGGCAGGGACGGAAAAGGGAGAAGCGTGGCACAGGCACGTCGCAGGTCAGCATTTGAGAGAGTGCAAACATTCCACCGCAGCCTTTTCTTTCCTTTTCATTTCCTTTGCGCGCAGTGTTGAGGTGCCGCAGGTGCCGCCGCGGCACTTTCGGAGCGCGCAGTATGTTCGAATTAACCGTCGCAAGTGCTTGCGCGTTCGAATTACCGGGAGTTTTCGCCCATTGGAATACACATAGCTTTGACGGGACCTCATCATGAGTTCGAATTAACCGCAAGTTCGAATTAAGCGTGTTCAAATTAATGAGATTCGACTGCACATAAATAAAAAAAGTTGCTCATCAAGTGTAGCCTCCCCCCCAAAGGGAGTCTACTGTAGTAGCTTCCAAAAACTCGGGCTCCCCCCCCCCCCCCCCCCCTTCTTACACGCATCCATTCAGAGGTGCCCCCTGTCCACTCACTTGGATGGTGTCAGTCCACTGGTCCAGCACATGGGCAAAGGTGTCCCGCAAGTCGCCCAGAGCAGGGTTGGCTCCACCGGCCCACTTGAGCCGCTGCTCGATGGCCCCCGCCACGGATAGGTGGGCCTCCTTGGCCTCGGACAGGGTGGCCACCAGGGAGGCTGCCACCTGCGCCGCCTTGCGCATCTCGGACAGAAGGCTCGCCCTGGCAGCACAGGAAGCAAAGCAGCACGCTTGTTTCCTATTGAAGGACTACTAGCACTTTGCAAGACTGGCAACTCGAAAGTTTGGGACTAGACTATTGACAATACACATCGCATTCTCATGTCGAAGGGGCCCTGCGACACATCCACAAATGATAATCATCAGCCTGATGATGATAATGAGTGCTTTTTAATGGCACAAGGGCAATTGATGGCCAAAGAGCGCCATTTCAATAGTTTAGAGATATGAACAATTATATGAAGCGTGGCTGTAAAGGGGCTTTAAGGGGAGACACGGGTATGGGAGGCCGAAAATTTTCCGAAAAACCGATTTTCTGAAGTATTTTTTTCATAATCATTAAGGTCTAAGGAAGTTGTTCCTAAAATATTATAGCCCTGTAATGCGTATTTGTCGAGTTATTGGGTCGCAAAGTCAGTTTGATGACCATTTTCGCTTCCGAAAGCACCTCAAAAACGGTCGTATTCAACACCGCAGCGCGCGAGAACGGCACCAAGTAGCACGGCCATTTTGGTCTCATTTTAAAGACGCATTTTTCTATTATCTGTTCCTAGCAGAAGAACGTTTTTCGTCTAGCAACAACGCAGCTATCACGCATAAAAAATAAACTGAATACTCGCACATCATTGGTGCGTTTTTGTCCCGTGGGGCAGTTCCCGGTTTCCTATTGGACGCGAAGGGATTCGTCTGCTAGACAGCGGCGTGCAAGCCGCCATTTTGCGTATAGGCCTAACAACGGCTGTGCATTCGGTGCAATGACAGGTGGTCATCGGAAGTTTCGGAGTGCTCATGCGTTCGGAAAAAGGCGGAAACGGCGTCCGAGAGCCCGCACCTTATCGCCAGCGAGACCTTCTGCCGCCGAGAACTCTGAAGAAGCAGGCTGTGCCAGCGCTATCACCGCCGCGGCACCCACGTTCGCGGACGCGATAGCCGCGTCTCAAGATCACACGAAAGCTGTGCGCGTCGACACTCCCCTGGTTTCCGACGCTGAAAAAGTGGCCATCGAGTGTCGTGCGAGTGATGCTCTGCAAGATCTTTCATCGAAGTCTGCCACGAAAAGCAAGCGGTCTTTGTTTCGAGACTCGGATGGAGCTGCAACGCCTGGTACGCCGTTCACTATCGTTAGCTTAGAGTTGGTCAACGAACTTCTTCAGTGTATGAAGTGCGGTGTGTGTGGCGGGCCTGGCAGAATCTCTAAGGAAGACCGCGAATATGGCATAGCCGTGAAACTTGTTCTCACATGTGACGAGTGAGGTAAACTGAGGACTGTATGGAGCTCGCCGAGAGCAGGGGGGGACGCAGCGCACGGCCCCTTCGAAATTAACGTGCTCGCGGTTCGCACGGCAATGAGCACAGGAAACGGGCAAACTGAGCTCAACGATATTTTTTCCGCCCTAAATATTTCACGGAGAGGCCTGCACACAAAGACATACCAGGATTATGTGAAATTGAAAATAAACCCTGCCGTGCAGAAGGCTACCGCGCGCGTTATTGACTGCGCGAGCACCGTGAAAACGGTGTATTCCGAACTCAACTATTGAAATCCTGGAAATATCGCCGTTTCCTTTGATGGGACTTGGCTGACCAGGGGCCACTCGTCCCATATTTGTGTAGGGACCGTGATTTAACTATTCACGGGTTATGTGCTCGACTTCGTCGTCCTATCGAACTTTTGTTTGGGCTGCCAGCTAGGGCCGAAGGAGGACAACCCAAGGTATGCCGAGTGGCTAGCTGGTCACACTTGCCAAAAGAATACCTCAAGTAAGCCAGGACAAATGGAGGTGGAAGCAGCACAAATTTAATTTGGCCGCTCATTGGAGAGACATGGGCTCCGCTACACAACCATGTTGTGTGATGGAGACAGCCGGGCTTTCAACAGTCTGCAGGAGGCACAGGTATATGGCTTCGTGCCAATAGAAAAAGAGGACTGTGTCAACCATGTGCATAAGCGCATGAGCACAGCACTTCGAAACCTCCTGCAAAAACAAAGAGCCGAAGGAAAGCCAAGCCTTGGCGGCAAGGGCAAACTGACAGGCGAGCTGGTCACAAAGCTCACGTCATATTATGGATGGGCTTTACAAAGCAACCAAGGAAGCATTGAGGCCATGAATAATGCTGTCTGGGCAACCTTTTATCACGTAGCATCTAATGATGCAAGCCCTCAGCACTCTCACTGCCCAACTGGTGAAGAGTCATGGTGCAAGTACAACAAGGCTGTTGCCAAGTAGGAGACTCCTCCGAATCATCGCTACAACCTGCCGGAGTATGTGGTTGATGCCTTGCGGCCTATTTACACGCGCCTCTCTGACAAGAAATTGCTGGAGCGTTGTCAGCGAGGCAAAACACAGAACCCAAACGAGAGCCTGCACTCCGTCATCTGGTCGCTCGTGTCCAAAAACAAACATGCGTTGCTTTTCACCGTTGAAACTGCTGTGGCCGAAGCTGTCGCAAGGTTCAACGCTGGCAAAGGGAGAGCAGATGCCGCCATATTGAAGGAGCTGCACCTGCAGCAGAGTGTTGTGGCCGCTGAAAGATGCTCAGAAAAAGACAGTCGCCGACTAGTGGCATCGGAGAAGCATGAGCATGCTGAAAACTTCGAGCATGCCATGAAAAGAAAGCGCACCAAGGAGAATGATGATGACTACATTCCTGGTGGCTTCTAACATAGTTAATACACCGATTCACACCTTTTCTTGTTAAATATAAGTGCTCAGCATGTTCCTAAACTTCTTTTCTCGTTTTCTCAAAACAACATTTTTCATCACACCCTAAGCCATCGCCCACAGTATCTTTTGATGTAGCAGTCGGATTTTGATAATTCTTGCAGCATTTGAAAGCTTATACATTGATTAGTGCAAGAAAACCAAAAAAATGTAATATTTTTATTTACAATATTGATTTAATTAGCAACAAACTTAAGCAACAGTTTCAGATTTCTAATGAGTATACTTGTTAAGGCCATAACTCTGGTACCAATGAAGCTAAAAATAAAGTTATGGTTTTGTTGCACTCCCTGGCCTTCATGGAATGCTGTCATATCAAATTTGTAGCAATATTTTATGAGGAAGATGTCAAAAGGCTGGGCAGAATGCAGAATGCAAGTTTATGTAACAGTCAATATTTAGAAATCTAAAAGTGATAGCAAAAAACTAATTGCATATTTGTTTTCAGCTGTGAAAAATACATATTGTATTAAAATTTCAGCTGAAAATACTGAAATTAAAAAAAAAAAAATTTTTCAGACCAGTCTCTCCTTAAAATTCTTCGCGCTAACGCGGGTTAAAACATGGAAGTAATAAAAGCATGGCAGTGGTGTGAAATATGTGCTGTGAAAATGAATGGCAAAATGTCATGATAATAATAACATGGAGGAGGTGTAGGCACCGCAGCCACGACCACAGTACAGAGGTCGTGCTCTGGAAGACCTTGAAATATCGGGTGAAAGCTATGCACATCTTTTAAAAAAGTGAGAAGTGTGTGTAGTTTAAAAAGCGGATCCCTACCGATGAGAATGCCAGGTTGTAGTGGAAGCTGCTGTCGGCAGGGCAGTAAAAAATGCTTTTTCCTTGGAGCATCAAGCTCATTGCACTGGACGAGAATGTGGAGAACCGTAAGTGGTTCTCCACATTTCTCACAATACGGTGGATCACCGGTATACAAAAGATATGAATGTGTAGAGTATGTATGTCCTGTTCTAAGCCTTGTTAGTGTTACTTCTGTGTGTCGTGATTTTGATAGTGGCGGCCAATAACCTAGTTGCGGCTTAATAGCATGGAGTTTATTGTCTGTATGTCTATCCCACGTGCTCTGCCAATACCGCCCGAGCTTTCGTTTTAGAAAAGGTTTTAGGTCAAGTGCAGGGATTGGTAATGATGCATTGGGAGTGGTGTTGTTGGCGGAAGCGGCCAGCTTGTCGGCCAATGCGCTCCCTTGTATCTCAGATGCCCTGGAACCCAGCAGACAACGACGTGCTGTTCTGATGTGTACGGTGTGCACAGAAGTGAGTTAAGTGACACCAGCACGGGGTTCTTGTGTTCTTTAGGAGTTTTCAGGGCTTTGACCACGCTTAGGGAATCGGTGTATATTACTGCCTTTTGTAATTTTATCTGTTTGATGTGTTTTACGACCGCCAGTATTGCGTAAGCTTCTCCTGTGAAAATGCTTGCATCAGGATTAAGAACGCCGGCCTCGGAAAAGGATTGGCCTACCGCAGCGTATGACACAGAAGTGTTTGACTTTGACGCGTCGGTAAAGAACTTGGGACGTGTATGTATGTTGTAGTTCTAGGAAGTATGTAGGAAGTATCATCAGCCTGACTACGCCTAATGCAGGGTAAAGGCATCTTCCATGTTCCTACAGTCAACACACTCTGCTGCCCCCAATAAATCCGTGTGGTTCAACCAATAAACTTCAGCTGATAGTACTGTGTTTCCGTTTTCGTCGCCTTCCATCCGCGTCTATCGCGCTGTTAGCCAAAATGAAACTAAGGCCTGTCCGCTTTCCCCGAAGCGATGTTTGCTCATAAAGTTGCCCAAGGCTCACCTGGCTGGCAGGGTCTGTCCACCAGGGTTGGGCAGGGCCTCCTCGTGCAGCCAATGGTGGGCAGCAAGACGCAGCTGGCAGCGGTGCAGCCGCACCCGCAGCAACCCCTCCGCCTGGTCCAGGCGGCGCAGGACGTCGCGGTGGCGCTGTGCTGACTCCAGGGACCTGACGGCCAGCACCGCCTCACTGCTGGCCTCCCAGCCGTCCGACAGGGACTCCAGCGTGCGGCTGGCTGGGGTGTCCAGCAGCAGCTGGCTCTGACTGCCGCCGTGGGGCAGGGCCAGCACGGCACACAGGCACGCAGACAGGGCAAACGATGGCAGGCCCAGCATCTGAAACAAGACAAGGGAGACTTAGCATAAGAAGTTATAAGAATAGCAGAAAAATGCATGCGCGATTTTTTTGCAAATGATAGCAGCGCTCCTGTAACAAGGTAAAAAAAACATGAAAACGAGACAATAGCAATTAAAACCAAATTAATAAAACCCTCACATATTCCCCATGTGCCAATAAGTGCATTAATTTTTGTTAAGAATGTATGATGCCAAAACAGTCGACTTTGCATTTGCACCTCCAGCTCCAGCAGCGTGCAACAGTTCGTGTGTTTGTAGCGTGGTCAATCGATGGCCCACAATTGAAACTCAACATTCAAAATGAAGAATATTTTGTCTTAGCCAGCAGCCAAGCACATCTATGTATAGAACCCATTGGGATGGAATCCTGGTCTCAGAAGTCCTTCCGGGGGCAGCGAGAAATGGATAAGACATTCAACATGCATACAGCGCATCTTATCATGCCGTTCATATGTGTTAAGGAGACACATAGTTGTATATGTTGCGATAGTCTACCCGGAGCAAAGGCCATATGCGCATGCGCTGTTCGCCACACATTTGTTCTCTTTCCGATATTTGTTGCCTGCTTTTTTATTTTTTTTGTCTTGTGTATTTAATTTTGGAAGTACTGGTTTGTAGTTGCCGCTTTTGCTATTTTCTGGATTGTTTGCGTTTATGCCTGTATCGCGACATGAGCTGGGAAACAACTTGGCTGCGTTTTTCTGCCCTTGTTGATGAAATCTGTAGGCACAGTGATATTTTTCGTCGTCTGTTTCTCATTTGGAAGTATGTCACTACTTGTCTGCAAACTGACAGCACTTCTATGTTGACCCATAATAATCAGCAATGACTTTATCTTGTATTAGTCCAACCGCACTCAAGTCGGATATTGTTGAAAAGTGTAAATCACCATTAACATTTTTACATATGAACATGCAGTCATTACGCCAAAAATATGATGACTTTTGCATTTTAATAAACGAGTTCGGGTTTTCCTTCTCGGTTATTATGCTGACTGAGACGTGGTACTCTGATCTTGATACCATACATTTAGACGGCTACAGTGCCGTTTCTTTGAATAGGAAATTGAAAAGGGGAGGCGGCATATGCATGTTCACAAAACTGGGATTTACCTATGACCTCCTCGATGACTTTTCTTGGTCCACAACGGACATTGAGATAATTTGTATAAAATGCAACAATTTTGTATTTGCTGTCGTGTATAGGCCACCTGATGGTAACTTGAGCAAATTTTTCACGTTTCTAGAGGCTATTTTTTCGTTTGTAAACATAAACCAATACTCTTTAATTTTAGGAGGTGACCTAAACATAGATATGCTGACAAAAACTCCTAAACAGGGCGAATTATCTGCGATTCTCGATTCCCATTTTTTGTTTAATGTAATAACCACTCCCACACGTATCACTGCAACTAGTGAAACTCTTATCGACCTTTTTATTACTAACCTAGCAATTAATAACCTATTCTCTGGTACCATTAATGTGACACTTAGCGACCACTTGCCTATCTATTTAGTAACTGATACGTACAATACAGCAAAAGAATTCACTGTAAATATAATATATCAAGACATCAACGCGGTTACACTGTCGCAGTTCCGAGATGAACTCGCCAGAACAAGCTGGAACGCAGTTTTTGCGTGCTCTACGGCTGATACCGCATATGACCATTTCATAGAAATTTTTTCTTCGGTATATAAAAAACACTTTCCGTACAAAGAAATAACTAAGCCAAAACGCGCACGTAAGCCTTGGGTAACGTTAAGTATATTGAAAATGATACGTACGAAAAACAGACTGTACCAGGTGTTCTTGAAAAATCGCGATTTGAATGAACTGAAAGCGTTTAGGGCATACAGAAACAGTCTTTCAAAAACTTTAAGGCAAGCCAAACGCGACTATTACCATACTATTTTTAACGGTATCGTAGATGTCAAGCAAATGTGGAAAAAACTAAACACAATTATATCTTCAAGTAATAGGACGCCCGGTGTCGACGAAATTACAATTGATAATCATATATTTAAAGGAACAGCATTAGCCAATAAATTCAATGGGTACTTTACTTCCATGTCAGAAAGTACTTACGACGGAAATGCATTAAGTTACATGCCAACACCTATAGCCCCCTCAATATTTATTGACCCTACGGAGCAAACTGAGGTAAACAACGTTTTCATGAAACTTAAAAAAAGCAAAAGTGAGGACATTGACGGCATAAAAATGGAACCGGTTATCTTTGTTATTGATTTATTATCACCCTGCCTGATGCATATTTATAATATTGTTTTAAGCACAGGTATGTTCCCTAAGCGGATGAAAAATGCCAAAGTTGCAGTGCTTCATAAAGGTGGTGACAAAAATGAAATGAGTAATTACCGGCCAATATCGGTATTACCTATATTTTCAAAGGCTCTAGAAAAAATCATTTTCACTAGATTGTATAAATTTTTGGACTCGCATTCTGTGATTACAACAGCACAATATGGGTTCAGGTCTGGCGTATCGACGGAGACAGCGCTGTTGCATCAAAAAGAGTTGATACTGGGCAACATTGAAGCAAGAAAGCTAACATTAGGCGTATTCATAGACTTTACGAAGGCGTTCGACAGAATTGATCACCAAACCTTGTTAGAAAAATTGTTTTATTACGGGATTAGAGGCATCGCACTCGATTTAGTAGAAAGCTACCTTAGTGATCGGTACCAGTGTGTGTCTATAAATAGGCAAACATCTATGCCCAAAAAAATCAAACGCGGTGTACCACAGGGAAGCATATTAGGACCTCTTCTATTTAACCTTTATATCAATGATATTGTAAATGTAGATCACTCAATAACGTACATTATTTATGCAGATGATACAAGCTTATTCTTTACGGGAACAAATATAGACGATTTGATAAAAGCAGCTAATAAAACGTTAGTCAATTTTTCGAAATGGTCCTGCCAAAATTCGTTACAGATCAACAGCTCTAAAACCAAGGCCGTTCTTTTCCGTGCGAAAGGAATAACATGTGCGTACACACAAAAACTGATGCTAAATAATTTCAATATCGAAATTTCAGAGACTGTCAAAACTTTGGGCGTCATCTTTCATCAACATATGTTCTGGAATTCTCACACTGAACAATTGTGTATTAAGCTAAGAAAAGCCCTTGGCGTGCTGAGAAGGTGTCAGTCGTTTCTACCGCTCCCCCAGAAACTTCTTATCTTTAATACGCTTTTTTGTTCTCATCTACGCTATTGTAAGTTGGTATGGGCTTCTGGAACTGAAACATCAAAACAAAAGTTGTATACACTTCAAAAAAGCGCTTTGCGGGCTGTTGCAAATATAGGTTACAGAGAACACACATCCCATTTATTTGTCAAGTTTAAAGTTTTAAAATTTTGTGTTGCATATGAACATAACTTGTTGTTGTCTTTGAGGTCTGAAATTCGAAAGAATTGCGCAAACCTGAGAGGCTTAGCACATTTACAGCCGAAAATTTTGTTGCGTCCGATGCGGAGTTCTGAACACTGGCACATCCCCCGACCGCGAACAAATTACGGACTCCAAATGCTAAAGCACTCTGTTCCCCATATACTAAATAAGTTCAAGCTCACAGAACAGCAATTGCGTCTCCTTTCAAGTAGTGATATATTAAACCTGTTTGTATAAGGAGCTATAAACCCAGAAAAATTACACCCAGTACTTGTAAATGCATGAAATTTTAAGTGTACCCCTTTCAGTTATAGCGTCTTATATTGGTTGCCTTTTTTCCCAAAAATTGTTTGTTTGTAAACACCCAAGTGTGCATCTATTCTGTACTTCATAAACAACCACTAGAATGTTATTTTCTTTTCTTTTTTCTTTCAATCATACGTGAGCACTGTATGGAGTTTGGTGTGCCATTGTTTCTGTTGCCTTGTACAAATGGGAGGTGGGGCTAGTCAAGCTGCTATAGCGCAGCTTTTTTCCTACTTTCCATGCCACAATTGTTTCTTGTTTGTGTAAATCACGGTGTATCGTTGTGGTGAAATAAATTTCAACTTTCATACACGCACCTGAACTCGGTAGATGGTGCCAATGCAGTGCTTGACAGGCAGAAAGGCATGGTCTTCGGCCATGCCCGTCAGCAGTGGTGGCGAGAAGATCTGGTGCATGCACTGCAGGCACTGCAGGAACATCACATCCTTCAGGTATGCGTCCAGGGCGTCCACGTGCGGGGGCTGCACGGTAGGAACGCAATCACACTATCGCCACTGCAACACGTCACATTTGGCTGGTTCCTTCCGGGTAACGACTGCCGTTCATAGCACTTCTAGGGCAATCTTACCTCTGACCTTATAGTACCACTGAAATGTGGTGCAGTTCCACCAACGCTATTACTCTTATCCGTACTAAAACTTGGAAAGCATCGTACTAAAACTTGGAAAGCAAGTCAGTAATGTACATGAAGCACCACGCTGGTGTTTCATTTGATGACGACGACAATACACCCAAACTTCAATACAACAAACCCGGATATTACGAAATATCGCTTATAACGAAGTAAATTAATATTCTTGCAATAGATATAGTGTTAGGAATATACTTTTACAGCGAACTTTTGTATATAACAAACTTAATTTGTTGTAAGACACAACTACGTTATTATGAGGTTTGAGTGTATAACAATGCGTGAGTGCACCCTTACATTGCGTTGATACTAAGGTGAAAGGCAACAGTGCCGCCTGACCATGTGCCCAGCACCATATTAGGTAAACTTGTGCATGGGCAGCGACAACGCAACACTGCTTACAAGTACTTCCGAAAAGCATGAGGAGCACGACTGTTACGTTGCGGCCAAAGTGGACTACAGCTTCGCAAAGGCCATAAAACGTGAATAGGGCAGCACTCACGCAGAGCGAGTAGGAGTTCCAGACTATGTCGACGCACTTCCATTCGAGACCTATGCCTTCCAGCAAGGCGTAGAATTTGGACAATTCGGTGGCAGTCTTGCCAAAAAGGCCGTGGAAACCTTGGACAAGCATCTTCCCAGGTGTCAGTCCTGAAAGTAATACACAAGAAATTGTAACTGCACTGTGAACTTGTTTAGCAGCGGTTGTAGGGACTGTCACTGCAATGTGTTCCTTCGTCCTCCACATGCTCAGTGTAAAAAAAAAAAAGAATGATCAGCTGAGAACCCGAATTCCCTGCTAGAATCACAAACGAAAGACTTCAGGCTGCGATGCTTCAGCTTCTGCGAGAGTTATGTGAGCAAATTCCCACACCTACTGGCAAAACGAGTGAACTGCCACTCACCAGTGTCGTCTGTCTTCAACAACTCGTCTAAAGCAACCTTGATGTCTTCCAGAGCTGGAGTTGGTTCATACTGCAAAGGCAGGAGTCAAACGTCAGGCATGCCAACTGCCAAAAGTACGCCTGTAATGAATCTTGCCAATTTGTAGCACAGGACTCAATATTTGCAGAGCGCTTGCATAAAGAAAACCTTTATCCGACCACCTCATGAATTTCACAGTCAAAAGGTGTGCATATTGAAGCTCAGATGAAACGACTAAAGAACCGCAATAGGGATGGTGGCGTTGGCTTGCGTATCGAAGGATTTATTAATGATTCTAACTCAAGATCAGTTATCCAAGTCTAATGTTGGTTGAGGACAATAATTTCTGATGATCCTGAGGACTGCGCAGTTGCATCAAGTTTGTTATACAAGCCTCACCTCGCTCCTCCTTCCCATCGAAACCGGTCACAATACCTTGCAATCCCTACTGTGTGTAAAAGGAAAGTGAAGATTAAAAGAAAATTACATTTTTACTGGGCTTTCTTCTGTCGTTGGTCTTTCTGTATGTGCATGTGACCTTTGACACAAGTACACATCGAAAGGATTCCTCTCACTCACTTTCGCTCCTTTTGTGTAACCCAACAATCGCAAACTGCAGTGAAAAGATGAATGGAGGGAAGACCACTGGCTAAGATGAATAATTACAATAACTTTTGGGGTTTTTCGTCCTAAAGACCATGATATGGTTAAGAGAGGTACCATTACGCAGGGCTTCGAATATTTCGACCCCCTGGGGTTCCGCAACGTGCCCCTAAATCTTAAAGCACACAGGACTCCAACATTTTGGCTCCATCGAAATGCTGCCGGCGCAGCCAACACTGATTAAAAGTGACATCTAAGGCGGCAATTAGAATATAAAATTCACAGCACCACAACCATCTCTCTTCTAGAGGTCACTACTACAATGTAGAGAAAAGTGTGAAGGGAAATGAGATAGAAGAGAAAAGAAATAGATAACAAAGAAAACCAGCTGAGGAAAATAGTTCCAATTTAGTAATGGCACTAGAATGCCACCCCACAAATCGGCATGCCACACATCTATCATTTTAATGCCTGCTGCACTCACTGGGACACCGTCGGTCATCTTCTGGTGCAACTGCTGAGTCAGCTCCCCAATGAACTCCACAACACCCTGACCCCCGAGGGGTGGTTCGTGCATACTGGACACCAGGGCCAGCACACTCATCTCCATGGATCTCTTCAGAGCCTCGGGCAGAATGATGTTCTGGAAGTGCACCACCACGTCCTGCAAGCACACCACGGTTGCTATGATCGAAGAACTGCGTCGCTGCCGTTGCACTTAGCGCAACAATCCTCTCCATCTGCCGCCTTTCTCGAGTTCAAACGTACCTGCCATGCTGTCTCAAGAACTCAAGAAAAGTGCTGGTGTACAAGACTGGGCAGACGAAAGATTGATAGCAATTAAACATTAAAAATAACACCTGAGGTTTTACGTTGTTATGCTAGGGAGTCCAAGCCAAACTGCATTGCTTCGGCGAAGTATTCAAGTTGGTATCGTTTGATGCAAGTGGCGTCAAAATCGATAGACCGGCTGATGTAACCAGCGCCAAAACCAGTGAGCGAGCTGTCTGATGCAACAGATGTCAGCCAAGGAGTCAGCCTGATGCAATCCACGGATCTATCTGTGGATGCAATCCACAGCAACAGTCTGATGCAATCCACGGCAACGCTTGCGGTGCGTCTGATGCAACGCGCAACAAGCCCTCTCCACCCACGGGTTCGATTCCAGCCAGCGACAAGCGGCTAGAATCGCTTTGCTTCCCGGTTGGAGGCTTCGAAGTAATGGTTGATGCAAGGGATCCTAGAGGCTGTAAAAGAACCAAGCTGTGCGAAGATGGGAGAGAGCGACCGAAGAAATCCCGAGCCATTGTTGCACCTCGGTGCGAGCCCCCAGAAGCTGTCAGCCCCAGTGCCGAATATGTAACGCCTGTGTTTATACTGTACATAAATGTTGTCTTAACTCACCGTCGCTTTCTCTACTCTGTCTATCAGCTCTGCACAGATGCAGCTGCGAGCTGAGATGCCTGATACCCAACAACATCCCAAGACCACGACATGATCATGAGACGCCGTAGTGGAGGGCTCTGGGAATTCTGACCATCTGGTGCTCAACTTGCACTGACATCGCACTGACATTGCCCAGCACATGGACTTCAACCATTTCATCTTTATCGAAATACGACCGCTGCAGCCAGGATCGAACCCGTAACCTTTGGGCTGGCAGCCAAGCACCCTCGCCACTAATCCACTGAGGCAAACAGCAATTAAACTTTCATGCATTTAACATATACCATATTGACTCGTGTAATGAACCCACTTTAATAATGAACCCACCCCCACCTTCGTCCTTAAAAAATTTTTTTAGTAATGCATCTGCATGCTACAAACAAGTTGTACCATCACAAGGCAGACTCAGCCGTTACAACTTTGACATCCATCTACAATGCCCAGACTGAACAGAAGTATACTGTTCACTCGCACACATGCTCCGGATATGTCCCGCGTTACATCAGGGACCTCTCATCAGTCACCAGTGAGTCTAACTGGGAAGAGGCAATCAGAAGCCCCAAACTCCAAAACCAACTAAAGGTAGTCCAGAGGGCCCAAGAACTGGCAGAACGCCACCACATTCCTGTCCCAACTTGGGTGTCGCCTACAGTAGCGGCTACTAGAATTTCCCTCATGGACACCCTGGTGGCTTAAACTTTTCAGGACCTTTTAATAAAGTTCTTGACTGACGGACTTAATGTATCTGTGCATTTTGTTTTGTCGCAATAGTCAATACCGATGACGATCGAAACAACGTAAAATCACACCATTATATCACAATATAATGAAGCAATTAAAGTCGAAACATAGTTTAACAACCATGCTAACCATGCAAGCAGCGCGAGTGTGGACGACGTCGATCGCATTTTGCGCAGAGCCCCATCTGTTGAACGCCAAAGAAACCCTTTGCTTATAGCGCCATGCAAGCACAGTGGCATGAAAAAAAGAAGCAAAAAATGAAGCGCAACCACTGAGCCGACAACGCGACGTGCACCTGCAACATGTGTGCACCACAACCAGACGCTGTATTTTTGTTGATCGGCTGGTACGCTAGCAACCGTCGGGCACTCGCTAGAGCATGGGAACCAAAGCGACCGCGCGACACTTTCAACGTTGACTCATGCGCGTTGACCTGTACAAGCACTATTTGCAAAGCTGCACCGCACGTACTGAAAAACTTCTTTCACCTTGCGCTTGCGTGCGGTAGGTGTCCCGGCACGTGCGGCGCGGCAGTGTGGATAGCGCCCGTATATCTTTGGGCTAGAAGAAAAGGTACGTTGCGCATTTCGCGGGCCAAAACAAGGAGTTTTCCTTTGTGAAGAGCGAAGTTCTCGCTTGAATAGAAGCTCTGTAAATCTGCTACTAAATTGAAGGCCAGCAGCGGCCAGACAGGGAGTTTTTTAATACCACCATGCTAAATTTTTGCTGTTTTAACTCCCTTGACTTCTCCCACCTAATAAAAGCTCCCCCCGAATTGGCGTCAACCTTTCTGAACGAAAAGAAGGAGGGTTCATTATGCAAGTGAATAAGGTATTTAGAGTAAAAAAATTGGGAAACACACGCTCTTGTGATCTCAAGACACGTTTCGAGACATGCGAAGTTCTGGGATATTCTCTAAGTAGCCATATCTTGCATTCCAAATAATTGATATATTAAACGACTCCATGGTACCCTTCGAGTTTGATATTTATTTACACAAACTGCAGCACTAAGTGCTCTATGGCAGGAGAATTATAGATATGAATTCGACTATATCAGTCTGGCAAATTTTTTTTAGATGTGCCTGCTTGCTTCTTCTCCCTGACTTAGTGTCCTCATCAGTGCATTACACACAAATCCAACGAGAACTCCGCAGAAACCTAAGTGAAGCGAGACGAATTCAATGCGAAGGCAACATGTCATCATTCATAAACTAACGCAAATTCTCTCACCAGCAGGGCCGCAAACACGTTGTAGATGGACTCGACCACTGCACACAGCTTCACAGTTTCAGCAGGTGGATCCTGCGAAAATTTGGAGGAGAAACAGGGCAAGTTTTTTTATTTAGCGCAGCTAGTTCGATTACTAGTGATTCATTGTAGGCGGCAAGTCTGACGTCATCGGGATCATTTTGCGTGTGTTATACTCGTGACATGAGTGCTCGCACATTTACATCAATTTCTCAATAATTAGTGCACTGCTGTGATAATATTGTCGTTTTAGACATTGTCATACACTGAGCTTTCACTCTGACTTACATTGAGTGTCCCTTTAAAAAGATTTCCCATTTACTGAGAGTCCATTGTACTATGTTTATATGCACGTTATCAGAGGGGCCCTGCAACTCTTTTCCAAGTAGCCACGGAATAAATTCAGTTGCCTCACGAATTGACCGCTGCAAGAAGTTTTAGAATCCGACCAGTACAAGAGGAGTAACAAAAATTTGTCGAACGCTGCAATGGCTTTCTCTTCTCTTGTCCCAACAAAAAGGCTGGAAGCCAAGCAGGCACGGAAGGCACAGGAGAAGAAGATAAGCCACACGATCCTCGTGACTTTGAGCACCTCTTTTTTTTTTTTTTTTTCTGAACGCCAAGCTTTGCAGTATGATCGCACATGCATGCGTGGACACACTGTAGTCCCAGTAACTTTAGAGTGCGACATGCCCAAATATGCTACCGACGCGATACTCGGGCCTGTGATGCAATGATTTTATAGGAATGAGTATATAGCATCATTTGTCGAGAGAAGAGAGATCTTTAGCTGCCTTTGTGAATTTATTGTAAATTCCAGCCAGAGTGCTGCGCAGCAATATTTGGCTTGCATGTCCTCGGAAGCCTCGACTACCGATCGGTAGTGTTTTCTGGCCATGATCAAGAAGCGTTGCAGGGCCCCTTAAACGAAGCTTCAAATTTTGATGAAGTATCCACTCAGCTGCATACAGCAACAGCAAAGACTCACGCAACATCTTTAGACTACCAATTTTTTATAATTATGGTTTTTGCCGGTTCTGACGGCTACAAGAGCTTGTTGAAGTAAGCTTGCTCAAAGCAAGTTCAAGTGTATATATATATATATATATATATATATATATTAATGAGATCTAACAGACAGCAATGCCAAGGAATGTACAGGGGAAGTTATTAGAACCAATGGAATGTAAATAAGAAGAAAGAAGAAAGAAAAATGGATGAAAAAATAACCAGCCGTGAGCAGGAATCGAACCTACGACCTTCGAATAACGCGTTCGATGCTCTAGAGCATCGTATACACTTCTTTCCCTTATATATATATATATATATATATATATATATATATATATATATATATATATATATATATATATATATATATATATATATATATATATATATATATATATATATATATATATATAAAGGGTATATATTTTTTTATTATTTCTGCACTCAATCTTGCACACAGTTGATTTCTCTAATTCTTCAGCCTATCTTGACTAAAGAAGTTATGAGCATCGGAAATTCCAAGCACCATTTCTCCCTTCCCTGGTCTCACACACCCGGAAACAACAAATGATGTGCATGCGAAAGAAGACTAATCAACTGGTTCAACAAGACAAAATCGGAAGGCAGACCGACCAGCTGCACTAGGGCTTGTCCCATCTCGTTTGCCACGGCGGCCAGCATGTGAAGGTCCTGCAAGAACCAATCAGAGCCCCAGAACTGAAGCTCGGCGAGGCGCTCAGCCGAGGCAGCCGCAGTGGTCTCCAAAACAACCATGTTCTGGGCGCAGGGGCAGAGGGCACCAAGCAGGGCAGCCACCACCGCAGGCTTCTGGGACGGGTCTGGGAGCACCAGAGGAGGGGGACAGGGAGACGACACGGGTTGAGATTTAAAACGTTGTTTCAGTGAGCCTTCAGTTTCCTGCGGCGTGCAGGTGGGCTGTTCAAAAGGAATAAGGGACACGAAAACAAAGCACAACACTGACAACAAGCATCACCTCTGCGCACTGGCCAAAACATGTAGACAAACAACACAACAACCGCAAACAGAAAACTAGAGAGAAGAAGCAAGTGGCGCTGGCAACAGGAAATTGGTAAATGAAGAAAAGTAAGAACAACATAAAGTAATAAGATTGGTTTGCCGTTCTGGCGCCGTCAATGTTTGCAATGAAATAAATACGGCACGCTTGACCAGCCAGTCAGTGCGAGAGCTGCCAACGTACGTGTGTGTGGTTCGGTTTGGCGACCGTCATGGCCCATGACTACCCGGCTATCACAAGTGGTGATGAGGTCGACCGACGAACCGGACGGGAACAGCACAATCACACGTTGTCATGCCTGTCGTCGGGAAGCTGGATTCATTCGACCCGAGTACATCGGAGTGGGCGGAATACCGTGAGCGGGCTAAGCTGTACTTCATCGCGAACAACATCCTGAGGGACAAGCGAACAGCTGTATTTTAGACATGCTGCGGTCCAGAGATTTTTTCTCTGGTACGAGGCCTTCTTGCACCGAGCATAATTGCCCAAGTGGACTGACAAAAATTTTTACCACAATTGACAAGCACTACACCCCTCGTGTATCAAAAGTAGTGGCAAGCTTCAAGTTTTTCTCGAGGCATCGAAAAGAGGGGGAGACCGTAAGTGACTACATTGCCTTATTGAAGAAATTGGCTGAACACTGCAATTTCGCAAGCTTTCTAGAGTGCATGTTGCGCGAACAGATAGTCAGCGGAATCAATGACATAATCATGCGAACCTGGCTACTAGAAATGATGTGTTTAACCTTCGAAACTGCGAAGGACACCGCTGTCGCTATGGAGGCAGCGCTAAAAAAGCACGCGAATTGAGCTGTCAGCAAGTAGAGCTAATATCTGAAGAAGATCCAGAGCATGCGAACGTTGTTGCCTCGAAGAAAAATGATAGCTGTTGCTTTCGTTGCAAGGGATGTCATTCTACATGTTGGTGTAGGCACGGCAGCACGATCTGTCACAACTGTTGCCAAAAAGGGCATCTTGCAAGAGTTTGCAGAGTGCAGCCGGGGAGCAGCAATTTCAACTGGAGCCAGTCTAGTTGCAGCCGGTCTAATAGCGTGAACAACCTGGGAGACCTTTCTGTCTCTGCTGAAAAGCCCGAACTTTTCGACTTGTGGACACTTTACACAGCTAGTTCGAAGACAATGCCCACCGCGGTTGAAGTTGACACGTAATGCTCGATATGGAGCTGGACCCCGGCGCTAGTGTGTCGACCATTGATGATGACAAGTTCACCGGGCTTTCTCCGTTGGTGCCAGTGGAACCATCGAGTGTGCAGCTGAGAAGTTTTTTCGGCGACATGAAACACATCCAGAGAAAGCTGGAAGCAATAATCGAACGTGGCGACAAGGAGCGCCACCTACTACTATTTGTCATGAAAGGGGTGTGTCCTACACTGTTTGGACGAAGCTGGATGAAGGCCTTCAAGCTAGCATCGCTCAGATGGAGTCAGCGTCGTGAAGTCTACGGAAGACCTGGTAGGCCAATATTATGAAGTTTTTTTCGAAGCAGCTTGGCACATTTCACGCGGTTGCAACTACTATATCCGTACGAAAGGGAGCGAAGCCACGTTTAGTCAAGGCGCGTCCGATACCATTTGCTTTGCGTGATTGGGTTTTTTAAAGACCACAGAGAATGGAATGGGAAGGCGTTATCAAACTAGTAAAAATTTTTCAGTGGGCAGCGCCCATCATTTTTATATTGAAGTGCAACGACCGGGTTTGGGTCTGCGGCGATTTAAGGACTACCATAAACCCGGTGACAGTCGTTGAGTCTTACCCCATTCCTAAGATTAAATAACTTTTTGCGTCGCATACAGGGAACAAGACGTTCACAAAGCTTGACTTGCAAGACACTTACCAGAAGGTCCCACTCAATGAGGAGTGCCAAGAGCTAGTCACCATTAACACTCCGAGGGGGTTATACTGATTCACAAGACTGCCGTTTGGGGTTTCATCAGCTCTGGCTATATTTCAGCGAAAGATGGAAAATCTTTTGCACGGCCTTACCATTCTGTAATCTACTTTGATGATATTCTGGTCCCAGAAACCAGTGGCCAAGAGCACTGGGAGAATTAGGGCCGAGTATTAGATCGCCAGAAAACTGCGGGACTGCGACTGAAGCTATCCAATTGCGAACTCTTGAAACCAGAAGTCCAGTACTTAGGCCATATCATTAGTGCCGCTGGGCTGCGTCCAAACCTGGCTAAAACTGATGCAGTGCTGGAATCCCCCGCATACCGAGTGGTCAAGGAACTTCGAAGTTACCTCGGGTTGGTTAATTTCTACAGAAGGCTTTTGCTAAACCTTTCTGCGATGTAACAGCTGCTCAGTAGTTTGTTGGCGTTGGGAACACCATAGCACTGGGAAACTGACGAAGAGCAGACATTTTGGAGAAGCAAGTAGCTATTGCTGCTATATTGGCACACTTTGACCCAGGAAAGTCAACTGTGCTTGTCACTGATTGATTGACATGTGGGGTTTAACGTTCCAAAACCACCATATGATTATCAAAGACGCCATAGTGGAGGGCTCCGGAAATTTGTACCACCTGGTTTTCTTGAACGTGCACCCAAATCTGAGCACACCCGCCTACAACATAACTGTGCTTGTCACTGATGCATCTCCCTTTGATATTGGAGCAGTACTGGTGCAACAAGAGTCATCTGGAGAAGAGTGCCCTATTGGTTTTGCCTCCCGCAGCCTGGCTAATGCGGAGAAAAACTACAGCCAATTAGAAAAGGAGCCATTGAGCCTTGTATTTGGTGTTACAAAGTTCAGGCAGTACTTATGGGGCCAGCCTTCCTTAAACCGGTTGTTACCACTCTTTAATCTGTGTGCGGCTTGTAGCCTCGTCCCCTAAAGCTGTCTTGATCTTCCCAATGGTTTCCACTTGGCTGTCCTCCAGTTTTTGGCAAAATTTGATGCATTAGCGCTGCTACAGTCGCTTTGTCATTTTACTTGTAATGAAAAACCGAAGAGAGCACTGCACACTACCTCACCCAAACGCTGCGTCCCAGCGACTGACACTATTGGCAGGCGGGAAAAAATTCCCGCATGCGTACGAAGGTTCAAGATAGGCTGATGCAAGCACGCTTGTTTTAAGTTCATCATGTGCTTGCAAATAATAATAATAATAATAATAATAATAATAATAATAATAATAATAATAATAATAATAATAATAATAATAATAAGGTCAAATACTTTTCTAACACACCTTGTACCTTTACGATGAAGTTTTTGAATATAATCAACTTATTTTCGTGTCAGATTCAACTTTTGTTGTAATGAAGTTCAAGAGCAGCACATTAATGTTATTTAAATACTGTTACAATCTGAATTCACTTCATATTTGTTCAACATCGACTTCCCTTCAAGCCTACCCTATTCTTTTCAAGCACTGTTCTGAATTTTGTGTTGTGAGGTGCTTTTTAAAGGGGCCCTGCAACCCTTTTTGAGTATGGTCAGAAAGCACTACCGATTGGTAGTAGGGGCTCCTGAGGACACGCGAGCTAAATATGACAGCGCAGCATGCAGCCAAGAATTCACAATAATTCATCCGAGTCTGCAAAAAATTACCTTCTCTTCTCTCGACAAATGACGAAAGATGCTCAAAAATCACTCGTAGAAAGCCTATCTATCAGCCATTGGCTGATTTGAACATGGCGCGCTCGGTCGTTACAGGGATCGCTGCGGAAGGTCGCAATCTGTCCGCGCACGCGCGAGACACTGAAAAAGCCGCGTATTCGAAAAAAAGAAGAAGAAAAAAAAAACAGTGCTGAAGGTCATGAGGCGTTCATGACATATATTTTTTGCCCCTGCCATCCCTCTCCACTTAGCTTCCAGCACTATCGTTGGGACAAGAAGAGAGAAAATGCATTTGCAGCGTGCGACAAATATTTGTAACTCCGCTCGTAGTAGACGGATTCTTAAAATTTTGAGGCATTGAATTCATGAGGCAACAAGTTCTTGTAGTGAATCCAATCTTTGGTTACTTGAAAAAGTATTTCAAGGCCCCTTTAAAGCTGATAACATACACAAACTTGCTTTCCATATTCACAAAAACTGTCCATTCCACACGTCACAGTTTAGAAAGTAGAACACCTTATCTTTAACTTTTAGAGCTATACCTGTGAATTGTTTGCTGCACAAATTAAAACAATCAACATCTTCTCGTGAACTAATTTGCATATATCCTAGATGGCCATGTGCAAAGCATCAAATTACCTACTGATGTAAGTGAATTACAAAACTAATTCAAAAAGAAAGGAACATTCCTTATCCTCACTCTGCTTTTCAAGCAGTTGCTCGTTTGCACGCTCTTTTTCTCCATTTTCATTTGTTACGGTATCGGTCTCTGTGTCTGCAACAGTCTTTCCATCATTGCTGCCTGAAAGAAAAGGAAAAAAAAATGGAATAAAGAGAAAGAGAACGCCTTCAGAGTTGCTGTTTGGTTACATGTATTCCAACTTTTTGGTTCATCATTTGACAGCCCAGTAATTTCACCTTTAAAGCTGTCGACCGTCAGAAATGTTCAGAGCTTGAATCCTGCTCACTAAATTACACATGACCTGTCAAAATTGGCCCTTGTTCAGTGTAGTAAAGCATACATTTTATAAATCATTAAATTGCTGAATTGTGCAGCAGTGCGGTAACATCAACAGGTGATAGGATTACGTGTATTCTGTATGGTCATCACAGTATGTACAGTTATAACCTGGATATAACAATATTGACAAATTCCTCAAAAAATTCATTATAAAGATGATTTCAAAATATGCAAGTTCAGTACAAAAATTAGGAAAAAAAAACTTCACAAATATAAACTAAAGGTTAACTGAAAGCAGAGCTAATTCAGAGCATTTATTTAGCGATAAAAAATTGTTTTGATATTGCGATAGCAATTATATGGACATTCTCGGCGGGTTGCTGCAGTCGTCGCCATGCTCCGTAACAAGTCCAAGCTGATAACATGCTCCCACGCATTGTAACTTTTCATCCTCATCATCAGCAGCAGCCTGACTACGCCCACTGCAGAACAAAGGTCTCTCCCATGTTCCGCCAGTCAACTCGGCCCTCTGCTTGCTGCTACAAATTTATACTCGCAAAGTTCCTAATCTCATATGACCACCTAACTTTCTGTCTCCCCCTAACCCGCCTGCCTTCTCTGGGAATCCAGTCAGTTATCCTTAGAGGGACACTAAAGTCAAATAACAATTTACGTCAGAGTGAAAGCTTAATGTATGACATCTAAAACAAATATTATGAGCAGCAGTGCCCTACTTACCGAGAAATTCAGATAAATGCACAAGAGTACGTGCACCGCAGTAAAGAATTTTCTAAATGATACCGATAATGTCAGAAGAACTGCCTACAATTAATCACTAGTAATCGATCTAGCTGCACTAAATAAAGAACCTTCTGAGCATGAAGAGATGCAATAAAATGCTGCTTGTTTGTTTCTGTTTGATTCATGGAAAAAAGAACCGCCGGACGTTACTATGGGGAATAGCGAGAGTGCTTCAAAATTCGATTTTCGCATGGTTAAACTACACAAGTTGCGCCATCTAGCGAGACGCAGTTGAACCAAAACACGTCTGCCGTCTCGAAGCCAATGGCAGGAAATTGATCAATGGCCGTTGTTGCTGCTGTGTCTTCGGCTACTTTTGTTTTGTCTACTTGTGTAGGCGGCTGCGCAGTAAAGCTGAGCAACCTTGTGCACAACAACAGTGGCGTGAGTCGGTCCGCTTCCTGAGCCGGGTAATTTGAAGTGTGCTAACCCGATGCCGGCCACTAAAATATGATTTTATTTCAAAATAAGCCCTTTCTTGACAAAAGTAACACTACGCGGTTTCTGGAGCACTATTTCGACAATCAACATCGACTTAATAGTTGCCTGTAGTGCCCCTTTAATAACCAGCGGTTATCCTGTCTACGCACTACATGCCCGGCGCATGGCCATTTCTTCTTTGTTCGAAACTTTTACGCGTGGGTAAAAGCAGAGATCGAATGTGCCAGCCCATCTCTATCACCTCTAGGGCACATACGATAACACTCCCCCCCCCCCCCCCCCCCCCCTTGCATGTTAGAACTGCCATCGAATGCTCAAACAGAAAGGAAACCACCCATATTGAACGAGCATAAAAAACGTGGGAGAGGAAGGGAGAGGGGAAGTTGCTCGAGTAGGATTGGCGAACTTTGTTTTTAAGGGCACCTATGCAATCGCTGGGGCCCGTTATCTCGGTAAGTACCAGTGCGCTTTCAACGTGTAGAAACTGCGTGAAGAGAACACTTCTCCCTGGAGCAGCCGTATTTGCTTATGCCAGCGTTTTGTGGGAGTACTGCGATATCACATCCAAAAGAGTTGGCTGCTAGCCTTACTTCATGCAACATTGCAATTTGTTGCTCTCGCATTCACTGCGTTGCATACAATTCGCCATCGTGTTGTTGCCAGTGCTAATTGGAATTTGCGAAGGCTGCAGTTCCTCGAACTCGTGGCGCAAACAGCAATGGGCAACGAGTCGACTACCGAAGATCTATTGTCACTGTGGTCTTGAGTTTTCATCAGCACCTAATCTGATATTCCCTCGGTAGAAGAAAAGAGCAAAGCTGAACGTCGTCAGGGGCCACACAATGTGCCGCAGTGAAATCATGCACGCATGCACTATGCCGAAAACGAAGAACAAACGACATGGATACTGCGAAAAACAATTCGATAAAGCACACTCCATATCTGGCACGGCCCCACGTATGTCACGCTAACTCGCCTTTTTTTTTTTTTTTTTTTTTTTTTTTTTTTTTGTCGACGGGAGAGGGTGCATCTGCGCATGCGTCCGCGGCAGCAAGAACGGTGCCAACGCCGGCTCGTGGGGCCCAGGCCCACCTGCCCGCCTCGCACTCAATAATGAGCGCTCGCTCTCGTCTGGTCTCGCCTGGATGTCGCCAGGACCACAACGCGTCACCGCCACTTCGCCTTTCATCGGCATTGAGCCAACCACAGAAGATGCATGCTTGTGCAAAAATGACAAAATGCAGGAGCGAAATTCCTAGATTGTCTGTGGCGAAAATTCATTATATCAAGGTTGTCTCCCCCTGTTACTTTGTTACCTAGAGGTTGCAAATACAAGTGCTTCTAAGAAGTAACGGCGGGGAATATAAATACTTTGTTATATCGAGGAATTCATTATATAGAGGTTCTTAATAAGCAGTTTCAACTGAATATACTACATGTTTTGCTATGTAGAGCTCAGCAGTTGGTCCTAGGTGGTCTCTGCAAACATCTATTGGTTTTCGTATTCTCGTTACTGCACAGGCAAAAGAACTGCGGACATAATGTAATGGCCTTTTGTAGCGCTACAGAACAGATTAAACAAGTTACTATCAGGCAACTTGAAAAGGCCACACCTCTGCCTCAACTCTTTCATTTAATAACATTTGGGGGCTAAACCCCCGAATGCAGAGATGTTACTTGGCTCACGCCTTCGACTTGACTTGAGTAAGCCGGCGTGAAGCAAGCAGCGGACTTCAAAACGTCCAAGACGGCTTTTGAGTTTCATAGATGCTCAGGCTGTCTTGCTTGGTCAAGTCAAGAACAAGCTTCAAAGCAGAAACGCGTTGCTCACCTGGTAACGAGGTTAATAATGAAGTTTCTCGTGTAAGGGCCGTGTTACAGCAAAAAAAAAAAATCGTCCATTTCAAAATAATGATAAAGATGAAGTGCCACAAGCATATTTTTGTCATTTTACGGCTAACCAGGGGCACGTGGTGCCTGCCATTGCAGCGATGCGCAGTGTTGCTTCTGTAAAGCGTCTGTTGCTTGCTGGTTTTAATGGCCACTAAAATGCGGCGCATTTCTCTGTGCTTGGTTGTTTGGAGGCAAAACAAGCATCGCGTTGGGTTCTTTCGTAAATTTTTTTTTCAATCGAATGCCACGGCGTGTATTTGTCTCGCGAAGACATTGCCCTCACCAGAATTTTGTCTCACGAGGTGCAGCAATGTCTCGCTGCATGATGGTGAAGGGGGAGGCACATAATCAGAAAACCCGTGGTAGGGGCATCTCATGTTTGTTAAGGATGGGGGGGTAGGTGAATTTTTCGTAGCGTTGTGCTACAAATGCCTATCTGAGCAAGAAACAGCGCCCTAGACGGTATGAAAGGATAAACGAGGCACACACAGCACCTAGTCAATTTTCTACCGAAAGAGACGGAAACAACGTAAAATGTTATCGTGTTTTAGAAAAACAGAGATAGCTTTTACGATTACGGAACACTTCTGCGTCGTCACCACCCGGGCTATTACTACGCACGTGTGTGCAGTCGGCACATCCTGTAACGCCAGGGAACTCAGCCACTTCATAAAAGTCCCGCATAACTATAGGAAGTGCCACCGACTGCAGAAAGCGCACCAGCATCGCGTACAGGTGCTTTGTAATGAGTAGCGTAAGTTTTCGGACTGCACAGCACACTGTCGCATACGAAATGCAGACGAGATTGCCGGTGACTGTTTGAAATGAGGCAGCGCTGTAAAACCCGAGTGCTGAGCGCCATCAGTAGCTGTAACACTGGAGGCACAGGCTGTTTTCGGTTGTCCCCACTTTCACGGTGCGGCAACATAGCCAGCAGCTGCCGCATGGCGTTCTTCGTGAATCTGTACCGTGCGTGAAATTGTTGCTCGTCGTACAATTCCATTGCATTTCTTCAGTCACGTAAAGCGGGTTGAGGGATCTTTGGCAGACAGTGCGTCTCAGAGAATGCTACGCTTATGGCGAAGGGAAGCAAACTCAAAAGCGGCCAACCACCGCGCGACGTCCATTCGAGAGGTGGCCATGTTGGAATAACGCATGTAGTCGCTTTCAAGCTAACCTCGCAGTTAACTCAAAACTTGTCCCGACTTCGACCGAGCCAAGTCGCTTTCAAGTCGTCCACAAGTTCCAGAACACTTTATGGCGAGCGGCAAGACTGTCTTGAGTCAAGTACGAGTCAAGTAACATCTCTGCATTCGGGGGTAAGTAAACGCCACCATACGTTTACAAGAGAGGTAGTGGAGAGCTCCATAAATTTTGACCATCTGAGGTTCTTCAACTAGTACCGAAACCACGCAGTGCACAGGCCTCTTCCATTTCGCCTCCATCGAAGCGCGATTGCTGCGGCCGGGATCGAACGTGTGACCCACGGGCCAGTAGCCGAGCACCTTAGCCACTGTTCAATACAGGCGGACTACTCCTTAGTTTAACAGCTGTGTACCACGCAAGACAATTGTAGCATTACAACTTCGAAAATATTCACCTAGCTTCTGACAAAGCTGATGATGTTCCAGAGGTCGAAGATTCATTTCACTCACTCCACTGAATATTGGCAATACTGTTGAACAGACAGTTTTTTTTTTTGAGCATTTGGCAGTTGCATCTGAGAACTCCACTGGCGACAAACTGAAGCGAGCAGCGCTTACTTGATATTATCCCTTGCGGCTGAAAACGATTGACAACCACTTGAGATTGACTGATGGTAGTCTCAAGTAGCTGCAAGAGATCACCCAACATTTTCGTGCACATAAGCACACCACCAACCCTGTGGGCACAGTGCATCCACACGCATGCAACTCACCTTGGGCTAGCGACAAGACTGCAGTCTGAGCATCAGGAAGGTAGTCGGGTCCCTCCGTTTGCTTGCGTTTCAGCACCTGAGCACACGCAACATTGCATTAACAGAACGGTCCCAGGCGACACTCTACACCACAAAGATATTGAACATATGAAGAACACAAAGCAAGAAAGGCTCACCTAACGAGTGAGTCACTACTTCGCGTTATTTAAAACTTTTATATTGCCAATTATAAGTAGACTTTCTTTTTCTTTTATAAAATGGCCTTCCAAAGTTCAGAGGTCGACCTAATGGGGAACCATGAAGACGACTTTTCTGAGGGGTCCGACAAACGGTCATTATCTTTGGACTCGCTGCTATTCGATGCATAGATAGCATCAGCCACAGAGGCAACGGAGTCACGGGAACTGCCGTGACTTCCAACGTAGGCGCCGCTTCCGGAGCCCGACATTTTTACAATCTGCCGCGATGATGGCGAAAATCCGGTATAGCTATGGTGGCTAGAGGAAGAGGTGTCAGCAATGGTGCGTCGAGGAACAGCATTTTTTAATGATGCATTGCCAACAGCATCAGGGTTTGAACGGTAGTGCCAATGCAGTTGCCGCATCAGTCGGGTGAGATTGGCAAACACCAGCACTCTCTGCACATGGGTATGTCAGTGCATTTGGCTTAAAGATATGCGACATGCATTTATCGCTCGCTAACAATGCGACATACGTTTACCTGTCTAGAAAAACTTGACATGCATCTGTTGCTTGCAAAAAAACATGACATCTATTATTTGAGAAAAATGTGACGATGGTTCCTCGTTTTAGTTGACAGCGTGCCTTAACAGCGCTTGCTTACTAGACAATTCAAAAACTCAGATTTCCCGCCAAGCACCATGGGCGTTCCACGGAAAAGCTGGCAACACTTTGCGGGGGAACTAAACCACATGACCAGTCACGTGCACACCAAACATGCACCCACAAGCGTCTTCGCGTCTTTTTGCGTTCACGCCTGTTCACCATTTCTGCATTTCACCTTACTTGGGAACAGTGGTGTGCGCGATTTGCGAAGGTGCTCAACGGATGCCAAGATGCCACTACTAAACCAGCAACAGTACAGCGCTGCTTCCAAGCGGCAAGTGATCCTATACGTAGAGTCAGAAAGCAACGTTTAAGCAGGGTGGAAGTTCGATGCGTCTGAAAAGTGCGTGAGGGAATGGAGAAAACAAAGAACCAAGACCTTCCCATTCGCTGTGGCACGCCATTCCTTTCGCGGACCAAAGTCTAGACGATCTACAATGCGCTCTACGATGAGTGGCTCAAACAAGAAAACCCCCAGACACCGATAGAAAAGCTGAAGCACGCCTCCTTGAGTGGAGTGGCGGAATGGGTTAATGATGCTTGGAATGGACTGCCAACCGACATGGTCCGCATGGCGTTTTCCATGTGTGGTACCTCAGTGGCACAAGAACCCCTTCCTTTGGTGAGCAGCGGCAGCGGCTCACACGACTGCTGCATACTTTTATTAATAGATGACAAGACTAAAGCCATAAGCAATTTTTCAGGATCAAATAAATGTTTCTTTGCATCGCTCCCTTTTCTGAAAGACTTACCGGTGTTCTGTGGCCACAGCACGAGGCTCTGTTTAAAGTCAACTTTTTTTTTTTTTAATGTCTAGAAGGGGTTGCAAGTCGGGGTGGTTGACTTATCAGCAATATACGGGGTAACCCTTCTCTCTGCTGGTACCGATAGAATTTTCGAATAAACAAATCAAAGCTTGCATTATATTCAGAGTAAAAGCTTGGTCAGAGCACCAATGCAGCAATATAGCTAGCTGGTTTGTGGGTTTTAACGTCTCAAAGCAGTTCAACCCATGACAGATGCAGAACAGAAAGGCTTCAGATAACTTCAACTGCCCGAGGTTCTTCAACATGCATCTAAATTGAAATACACAGGCCTCCAGCATTTAGCCTTCATTGAAATGCAAACGTGGCACTCGGAATCGTAGGCACTGCGCCGTGCTCCCGACCGGGTTGCAGAAATTAGGTGCCTTTTCTCATCTTCTAACCACTACCACCACCACTCGGAATCGAACGCGTGACTCGTGGGTCAGCAGATGAACAATGTGACCACTAGACCACAGAGGCGGACATTTGATCTAAGAGATTCAAATATGAATGAAAGGTTGCAACATTGGTATAACACATACTTGAATGGGTTGTGAGTGTAATCCCACAACTCGACAAATGTCCCCCAGAGACGGGAAAGCGTGAAATGCGGTAAGGTAGAGTGAACAGGGTGAGCAACTCACTGCCATGATATGAGAGTTGCAGTCTGCAACGGCAGACTGGAGCTCGTAGTGCTGCGCCAGGGCTGCCTGGGAAAATGTAACTTCCGTTCCAAGGCCATAGTGATGGTGGAACTCTGATATCACCTCTTGACACCTAAAACACACAAGAGCAAAAAAACAAAAAAAAAAACATAGAATACAACAAGCTACCTACACGTCGCAATGGCTTTGTAGTTTGAACGTTCTTAGAATAACAATGCACAACACCGTACTCCTCAGAAACACTGCGGCAATGCAATTGTTCTAAAGGGTGCTACCACTGAATGTTGCGAAGTGGAGTACAATCTTGATGATATGAAATTCAAAGAGGAGCGAAAATAGAGTAGAACCACAATAAGCCGGGGAGCATGGCCCGAACAGTTTTCCCTGTTCTGGAGGACACTTACCTAAGGCATAGCTTAGCCTCAAGTGCTTTACAGAGGAGCGAACAATTGAAGTGTGGCTAGGGAAAACTGTAACCTCAAATTGCTCGTACCTCTACGTACACAAGTCGATTCGCTGAAATCACAGGGAAAATGGTTTACTCCAGTGTAGTCCAATTTATAGTCTACATAATTTTTTGCGCCAACTCCTCACTCATTTGTCAAATACACGGTAAATGACGAAGCCCCATTAGTGGCGTGTCCTCACTTGGCTAGGGTGAACTCCTGGTGAAGCCCTTCCAACCAGTGTTGCCAGTGCTGCAGGCGGTGACTGGGCTGGTGCCAGCCGTGCGGGGGACCCTGCACCACGATGGCCGCGTAGGTGCCCAGAAGATCCACGGCCGTGTGCATTGCCTGCCGCATCTGCTGTACGAATGCCAGCAGCTCACCCTCGCTCTGCTCGCACTGAAAGAGAGATTCACACACCAAACAGTGAGCACGTTGCTCCACTGATCGACCGATTGACAGGATGCCAGGACCATTCACACATACGAGTGGCGCAAGGTAAAAAGACAGTGTTACTGGTCATCAACGAACACCTCGTGTGACTGATGTTTGTGTCGGCAAGTGTGGCCCATCTGTCACCACAGCAAAGTGTCTTGTAGGATAACCACGTTAAGATATCTAATCTTACAGCCCATTGTAGGAAAAGAAACGGAGTGGGGAGTGCGGGAGTGTTGGGTGTGGGTCTCAGAGGCCGTGTGTGGTTGACGCTAGAGGAACGAGATGGTGCGAGTGTCGGGTGAAGAGCAAAGGCGCACTATGTGCGCGCGAGAGTACACGTGAGGAAGGACACAGTGGGACGCAAGAAGTCGGACATGTGGCACGAAAAATAACGGATTTAGTCGTAAACGTGGTTGCCGATAGCAGAGTGCATTCTCGAGTCTGACAACAGTCTGACCACTCAATCCTGTATCAGTGAATGGTCCAGCAGCTCAGAGACTTCTGCTGCAGAAGTATGAATTGGGCCTCATGCACCGTCCTATTGTCATGTTTCATTCAAAGTGAACTCGGATGCATGTCCTCTGCAACTTACTGCTGTGAGGGTGCCCTCAAGGGTGGACGCGCCCTTCGAAAACCGAAAAATTGAGAAAGTCAATTTTTTGAAAACCACATATTCGTGTAGTATGTCTAGTAAACTATCTGTTCTGTAAATATAAATGTTTAATTTATTGTGAAAGTACATCAAATAAATTACATAACATGCTGCGGCAGCCAGCGAGTGGCCAGCGAGCGCTGAATATACCCTAACTTCGTGCGTTTGCTACTTCCCAACCACGCGACCCAGCGCTGCCACCTTGGTCTTGTTTTGCTCGTGAATTCTTGGTCTTTTTTTTTTTTTTTCGCCAGCCCCGGCAGCAGCATCGATGTGGCCGAGGTGAGAATCGCTCATGATTGAGACGATCTCCAAGTTTTGAAGTCTCCCACAGCTCGGATGCGAAGCCGCGATTGGAAGAAGCGCGCACCTATTGAGGGAGTGGGCGATCACGAAGTTCCTATTGGCTGCTGCGCGCGATGACGCATCTGTTCTCTGGCTCAACGTCTGCTCCGGCGCCGGTGCTCACTCGGTGCGGCCTTGCAAGCGCAGGTAAGCGCCGGTGTTGTCTGGGCGTGCTTTGTGTGTCCCGCTTGCCTTCATTCCATTCGGTTCTCGCACGTGCTCTTCAATCTTTCGCCGTGTTAATGGGACGCTGATTGTTGTTTTGTCGCTGACGATGGGCAGGGCAAAGTTTGGGACTCTGCATGCGTTTTGTTCAAGAAAGCATCCGATTAAGCTTGTACGCATGGTGAGGCTCGTTCACGCGCCAACGCGTGGGCAACAGTCGCATCAATGCTGACCAGCTTCTCCTCCGTCTCTTCAAGACGATGATCGCATTGATGCTTTTCGCGACGTTGAAATTGCTACACCATCGGCGCAACGCTCCGTCGTCAAAAGTGAGGCTGGTGTTGGTGTTTCGTGTTCATATGCGCCTCATGAGTTGCGCTCACTAACTGCAATGATTACAGCCCCGAACAGTGCAACGGCGTCGTCGACTGTGCATTTGCCAACACGTTTTTGGATGGGCGAGGAGTTAGCCGCGGAGGAAAGTGAACGTGTTGCTGTGCAAACAAAGCTCGGCGTTATGTCGGCAACCAACGGGCAGCGGAGAAAGACCCTTGATTTGATTGATTGGTTTGTTGCGTTTAACGACCCAAAACCACCATATGATTATGAGAGACACCGTAGTGGAGGGCTCCGATAATTTCGACCACCTGGGGTTCTTTAACGTGCACCCAAATCTGAGTACACGGGCCCACAACATTTCCGCCTCCATCGGAAATGCAGCCGCCACAGCCGGGATCTGATCCCGCGACCTGCGGGTCAGCAGCCGAGTACCTTAGCCACTAGACCACCGTAGCGGAGCGGAGAAAGACCCTTCCAGTGTGAAAAAAGCTCGGGAACGGCTGCAGCACAAGCAGGAAAAGCGGAGAAGGAAAAGAGTTTAAAGAACATTTCTAGCTACTTTGCAGGGTGATTTTACACCAAAATATGTGTCCGAAACATTCGAAGTCAGTTTTCTCAGAATGACTTTCTTGGCCAGGGAGGCTGTTGAGACTGGTGATATCTCTGCAACCGTTCATCTGATTTCTATCAGATTTGTTTTATTATGTACCCTGATGAATAGCCCACACAGTGACAGAGCCGTTTTTAAATATATTGCGTCTGTAATTTGAGATAATCAAACCTTCAATGATAAAATCTCAGTGGCAAACATCAAATCCAGTGTTCTGCTAAAATTTTCAGCAAGGAAATTAAAAAAAAAAAGAAGGGGGCTCTGTCCTGGTGTAAAGCACCCATCCAGGAATCATCACAATAAATTTCACATTGCTAGCACATTTATTAAATTCACCAGAGCCTGACAAAGAAACCTATGAGGACTATCCTAATAAATGGCTGTAACTTGGGAACCAGTGAACCTAAATGCCTGAAATTTTGTGGTTATTCAAATAGCTTTATAATTTGCCTACCCTGCAAATTTCATTAGAATATCTCAACAAAAAAAAATTTGCCCTTCCATGGTAGCCCCCTTACAGTCCCCAACCGATTTTTCGGACCTGGCAGGAACCGAAAATAAGTCGAAAAATTGAACAGACAGAAAAATTCGTTCTTGTCAGAAATATTAACTTTATTGCATCAGGCAGGCTTAAAGAAGTCCATGATTCTGTATTGCCTCATATTACGCTTAGAAGCAATTTGGTTCGCCCATATTTGCGCCAAGGTGACATCGTCACCGTAAATGCTCGACAAAAGCCTCACCGCGGTGGCGATCTCCCCTGTCGACAGCTGCGGGCGATCATCGTCGTCATCATCCGAACCGCTCTCCGGCTGCGGCACAACCTGGCGAAGAATATCTTTGTCTATGGGCTCTGCGCACGAAATTATCGTCTGCACGAGCGAAGTCTTTAAATAGGAAGTTTTAGACTAACATTTGCAGGTGCTGCGGTTGCATTACGAGTTCTAGAAAAGTGTTTGCTCTCCCTAGGGAAAAGTCTAGGGACATTCGCCCCAACCGCAAATGAAAATGCACGGAAGCTACACACAACACTTTGCAGGCCTCGCGGGCCGCGATTGCCGCACGCTATTTCGATTTTCTGCGGGCAGGCCGCAAATGGCGACTCGCGTTACGACGCATGCGCAGTGGCAGCGACTGCCCCGCAAGGGCTCGCGGTGCGCTATTCTAAAACTCCCTAATGCCATTGTGGCAGGCACATTCACTCCACTAATGCGCAGCTCCGCCTCCTCTCTGTACGGTGCGATGTGCTGACCACTACGGCTGACCGAAGATGAAAAAATGGTCCCGTGCCGCATTTTCTAAAGCAGACACGGCCTCCGAAACATGAAATATGACGTTTGCTTTCCAATCTTGGAGACGGGAAAGCCATTTTAAAATTAAGCCACTATGCTTAGTCAAGCCGGCAGAAAATTCAACAAGGCGGTGTCCATACAGGTTCGTGGCACGGCTCGAAACAAGCGATTTAGTCCGAATTCGTCCGAAAAATTGGTCGAAAAAATGCATTAGCCCTAGGAGAACCCTGACGGTTCACTTTTGAAGTCCGAAATATCTAACAAGTTCGAATTTTGGAGTCCGAAAAATCAGTCGGCGACTGTTAATTCATTCAAAAGCAATGCAAGGGCTACATTTTAAGACAACCCTGGATTTATTACATGCACACGGAGCTTAGTGTGAATGTACAAGAGCTCTTTGTGCCTCTTTCTCATTTCTCTGCTGCATTCTAAAATAACCCTGGATTTATTACATGCACAAGGAGCTTAGTGTGAATGTACAAAAGCTCTTTGTGCCTCTTTCTCATTTCTGGTGTTTCGTCATTTTAGTGGGTGTTCCTCAATGTACTTTTACCTGTTATGCACAAATTCCAAGAACCACTCCGTCCAAGATATCTTCCTCTACTAGGCTAATCACTTACCTGCTGGAGCAGCTGAAGCTGCCCAGAGCTTTGAAGGAACTCCACCAGGGGTGCTAGTGACCCTACCGACTCGAGGGCGGGCTCGGCATTCAACACTCGGAGCCACCTCTCGGGAGCCGTTCCAGATGACAGCGCCGACATGGCTGCGCTCTGCATAGCGCTCCAGCGGCGACACTCCTCAAGCTTTTCCTGTAAGGGTGACAACGGTTGTACATTTGAACAGCATATGCTAAGGCTTACTACAGAACTTTCTCAAATGTAAATATACACTGCATTCTATAGCTCCAGAGGTTTAAGATGGCAAGTTTCAAAAAATTTTATGAAGTTGATATGTGGCACAACACCAACTCTCTCCTCCCCCAGTCCCTTCAACAGCAAAAAATGAAATTCGTGATGGAAAGTGTCAAATCTTTGGTACGATATCCTAAATTGAACCTTCAATTTTTTGGACTTTTTTCTCACTTATAAAAATGGGTGCAAGCTTTATAGCAATGAAACTCTTTGAAAATTTTGTCACTACAAATTTATTTAGCGTTTTACTCTGTGAGGCTGCATTGCCAGACTAGACGATACACTTGACGATCCACAACCACGTTCAGAACACACCCTTTATTTCCCCTCATGCCCCTCATGCCCAATCTTCCCCTCATACTCCGTCTACTTCCTCTCATATTCCCATGTGCCCTCTCGTCATTCACTTGACACTTGCGCTGTTTAGTGCTCTTGCCATCAACCACACACAGTCGCCGAGACCCGCACCATACACATGCGCACTTCTCAGTCCATTTCATACCTCACATCATAAATTACAATAATAAGTGTAGTAGTGGGCTCACCATGAGGGCCTGAAGTGCCGAGTCCCGTGCCCCACGGACGAGCGCCCACTCGCGGTAACGTGCGGGCAGAGAGAAGAGTGGGTGCTCCTTGCCCTCCGAGGCCAGGGCCTCCTCCAAAATCGTCTGCTGGGCACAGGCCTCACCCAGGCTCTGCTCCGAAGCGTGCACGCAGCCCTGCCACAACGGGAGAGTAGAACAGTTGGTGTATGTGTACACTTAAAGGGACACTAAAGAGCAAAAAGATATTCCGTGTATTAGTTAAGTACGATTCCACAATACCGAAAACACTCTTATCACAGCCCAACACTTGCTAAGCAAGAAAGCACGCGAAAAGAAAATGCGGGCACAGATGCCACCTTGAGATTCTCGCAACAAGCACCGTGACGTCAGATTTTGAAGGCATCTGCTGGGTCCTATGTAACCTATAAAATGAAGTACATTGTCATCTGTTGGTGTCATAGACCTACCATACTGCAAAAATTTTTATCGAGCCAATGTCACAAGAACATGCAAAATTCATCCTAAAATCTTGAACGTCGCGTGCAGGAGCCCTGGCACCAAATTTAAAAATGAAACTTCTACCTTGATTTTCTCCACTAAGAATAAACTTATGATAGTGAAACATAGCGCATTAGAGTTCTCAGAGTGCTGCTTGTCATTCTAAACCATGTCATTGTTTCTCTTTCGTGTCGTTGAGAGCACAGCAGCATAACACTATTTTCAGCTGGTCGAGTCTGTGTATCTGCTCAGCCAGTGTATGTACCGTCTGCAACATGCCATTCAATACATTTCAGGTACCTCCAATTGCTTTCGAATATTTCAGTATGCAAAAGCATCACTTTTCATTATTCCTTAAAACATCCTGAAGCAGCCATTGCCACGGAAATTTTTCAGTGCCAGTGAAAGTGATGAAGTTTGCCGACATGCTCAAATAGACCTAACAACTATTCTACCAGAGTTTACGCTGCAGGGTAACCTCTCAGCACCAATTAGCAACTTGGAATGGTTAACTGCCTCGTCTACACCAAAACCTGATGAGTTCACATATATGATCCCATTCTGCCAGAAAGCAAAGCTTTAAGCTCGCCTTGAAGCTATACTGCAGGGCTGAAGACATGCAGAGCAGATGGTCTTCAAACCGATCCAGAAGCGGTATACCATTCCAGAAGAAAAACAATTGAAGGCACTGCAGTCTATGGACAATGATTGTGTAGACAAAGTTTGTCAAGTCACACAGACAACTTGCTACGATCAGGTAGGATAATTGCTCTAATTTGAACGAGTAATAAGCTGTCTGGGCATAGACATTCTTTCACCGACACTGAAACATGACCTTCCTATCTGCAGTGGAATACCACAACAGCCAGTTCCTAATGGAACAATACCATACTCACTACTGTACCCTATTGCATACCTACAATGTAGTAAACCGATGCTGCCCTCCCTAAATTGCACAAAATCTTTTCCTAAAGGCCATGCTGATCCGCTTAGACAATGAGCCACTTTCCAAACAGTGTATCTTAGAATGTCTGTGGTATGTAACGTTGCGCATACAGTCGGACGAACACAGGAAGTAAAGAGGTGTAAACGGAAAGCGCAAACTATCAGTTTCGCATACAATCAGACGAAAACAGGAAGTAAAGAGGCGTAAACGGAAAGCGCAAACTATCAGTTGATAGTTTGTGCTTTTTCTGTTTACACCTCTCTACTTCCTGTGTTCATCCGACTGTATGCGCAACGTTACATACCACAGACATGCACAAACTCGCCCAGCAAGAAGTACTTAATCTTAGAATGTTGACCTAAACTGTCATTGTGCCAGAAGCTGGCTGAGGCTTTAATAAACGTATCATGTAGCGATGTTCTATTCGAGAGACGACCGTACTTACTCGCATAATAATCGCACTTTTTCCCCAAAAATATTGATGCCAACTTTGGGGTGCGATCATTATGTAGGGTAAATTTTCTGCGAAAAAAATGTTTTGAGCAGCGAAAATGCAAAGAAGTTGCGAATTAGAATTCTTACGATAAAAATCATGAATATAACAAAAAATAAAAGCAGAGCAAGGCTTACCTCTGTAATAAATGCACGCATTATTAAGCAGGTACAACAGTACAGTCGAATCTCATCAATTCGAACACGCTTAATTTGAACTTTTGGTTAACTCGAACTAACGCTGAGGCCTTGTCAAAGCTGTGTGTACAGTGAAACTTCGATTATACGTCCCCCGGTCCTGCGACGACCCGCGGTTTACGACGAATTGGCTTGGTCCCGGCAAAACCCCCATAGAAAACCTCAATTGAAAACCTCAATTCTACGACGCAATTTTACGCCGGCCCCGCCTCGTACGACGCTTAGCTGGACTGTCCGAGAAAAAAACAAAAACAACCTACGATGACGCTTGCAGGCTGCCACGCAAGCACATTGCGGCCGGATGAAAAAAAAGTCGGGAAACCGAGGAACCGAGTTTGTTCCTCCGCACGTTCTAGCACACTATCTGCACTGCCACCGCTGCCACCACAAAGCCTCTTCAATTTTTCGACACGCTGTCGGCCATAGCTAGCCAGAGCCAACGTTGTCCAGAGCAAGCCGGAGCGCATTCGTTTTGCTTAGTCGCATTGCTCTGCGGACTTCCGTTGGGGCCTTTTTTTGTTTTGTTTTCTGCCTTCTTTTGGGTGGCTTTGTAGTGACAGCTGTGAGCAGGTAACATGGCAGATAATTTCGAGCTCGCTTTCTAGTATGCGATAACTTTCACTAGATTTCGCGTCGTTGTACCCGACGTGTTGAGCGGCGATTGTTGAGCCTGTCTACGTTTGGGACAGCTGCGGGAACCGGAACTAGCTGCTGTCTAGCTACTAGAGGGCTGGGGAGTTTTAGCCCCTCGCGATTGGTCGAAGCTTGCGCAGACGTATGCGCTTGCAAAAATCGAATGGGCCCACTGCCTTGCTGCTTTTCAGGCATTCCTTCACGTGTTTGCCTCATCGGTGGGTTGTGTGCTGCAGCTGCTGTGTCTACGTGCAAAATTTTCAGTATTTGGACAATGGTGTGCGAGGAAGCTTTCGCATTCTTGGTTGTGAGTGCTGCGTCTCGCAATGTCGCGGAACCAAAAACCGCTGACGCTTGGAGAAAAGCTTCGCATAATCGAGAAGGCGGAAAAGCGGAGCGGAGCAACAAAGGCCACCATTGTCCACGACCAGAACATTCCTGAGTCATCGCTGAAAACGATCCTCGCAAAGAAGGACAGCGTCCTACTAAATGCGGCAAAGTTCGGCCTGAACAGAAGGCCGCGAAAGATGGCAAATATGCTGCCATGGAGACGGCCCTCGTTGAGTGGTTGTGTCAGGCCCGCAGTTCAGGAATCGCTGTGGATGGCGCAATTTTGAAGGAGAAGGCGGAGACAGTTGCATTGCGCTGCAGCTTTGATGACTTTAAAGCCTCCAATGGCTGGTTGGATCGCTTTAAAAAAACGCAGTGGAGTTGCGTACAGCCGCTGCTGTGGAGAGAGCTCGTCAGTCAGCTCCAACACTGTCGAAAAGTGGACTGCATTGCTGCCGAAATTGATACGGCAATACAAGCCGTCCGACGTGTTCAACGCGGACGAAACTGGATTATTTTATAATATGCAGCCAGAGCAGGCATTAACATTCAAAGGAGAGAGCTGTCACGGGGGTAGGCGAAGCAAAGAGCGTCTTACTGTATTGCTTTGCACTAATGAAGACTGCTCAGAAAAGCTTCCTGCCCTCGTGATCGGCAAGTTTGCGAAGCCACGATGCTTCAAGAATTTGAAAAGGCTGCCGTGCCAGTACATGTTCAACCGCAAAGCCTGGATGACGGCTGCTATGTTTTCAACATATCTGCAGCAGCTGGACTCTCAAATGGGGGCTAAAAACAGAAAGACTCTTCTTCTGCTTGACAATGCGCCATGCTATCCATTAGATACGTCGCATCATAGAAATGTGAGTTACATTTCTGCCCCCCAACTGCACTAGCCAGCTGCAGCCACTTGACGCTGGCGTCATCAAGCGCATGAAGCAGAAATATCCGAAGTTTCTGGTGCATCGTCGGCTGGCGGGCATGGAATGCAAACAGTTGGATAAGAAGCTTTCTGTGCTTGATGCAATGCACTACATTGCTAGTGCATGGGACGCAATCACACCAGAAACCATTGTCAACTGCTTCAGGCACTGCGGCTTTAATAGAAGTGGTGCTTGTTCTACCAGTGAAGCTGCAGTGCCTGTTGACGAAGAACCAGAGTTCGGCAACCTGGAGCTGCCTGGATCCTTTGCGGACTACGTTGGTGCCGCCGCCGACGTTGCAGTGTGCAGTGCAATGTCGCTGGATGACTTTATCGAAACTGTGCGTCCTGACACTGCGGGAACTTTCGACGAGGAAGAGATGGATGACACTGTAGAGGCTAGTGCGTCCGTTCCGACGTACGCAGACGTGTTGTGCTACGTCGACAACATTCGGCGGGTTGCTTGCGCACGCGAAGAGATCGGCGACTTGCTGCCAGATGTCGCAGCTCTCGAAAGAAAGCTGATGCATCGTGGCTGGGCAAACTCGCAGAAAAAAATCAGATTTTTTTTAAAAGGTGAGAATAAAGATTTGTTCACACCTCCGATAAAATGCGTGGTTGTCATTTTTTCAAGTAATTTAATCTACCTTCATCGAAGCAGCGTAGATTTGTGCCGGGGACTTTCTTACGCATTATGTGACAACTGTTGCGGGGCAACAACGACCATCAGTGCCTATATTCTTGCTTTTTCGATTATACGACGCCCGGATTAAACAACGATTTTGCGTGGTCCCCTTAAAGTCGTATAATCGAAGTTCCACTGTACTAAAATGGGGAAAACGCCCTGCAATTCGAACGTGCAAACACTTGTGACGATTATTTCGAACATACCACGCACTGAAAATGCTCTCAGCGCCATGCCAGCTCTCGCGGCAGCACCTCCAACACCTTAACGCTGCGCACGAAAGAAAAGAAAAGGACAGAAAAGGCTGCAGTGGAATGTTAGCTTTCTCTCAAATGCCGATCTGCGACGCGCCCTTGTCCCGCTTTTCCCTTTTCCGTCCCTGCCACGTAAAGACCCTTTTCCTTTCAACCCCACGCGCGAAGAGAGAAAGGAAGAAAAAAAAAGACAGCTGTCGCAGAGTGTTGGCTCTCTCTCACGCGCCGGGGCCACGCTTCCCCCTTTCCCGTCCCTGCCATGGACTCTTCTTTTTAAAATGCGTGGGGAAAAAAAAAAAAAAAAAGCTGGTTCTCTCTCAAGTGCAGATCTGCTTCTCTCTACTTAGATATGCTTCTTTCTCGTCACGTGCTGGCCACGCTGCGGCTAAGGGTAGCAGTGGAGGCGCAGTTGTCGTCTTTAGAGAGTGTCGGTGCTGGACATCTCTCGCCAGGAGAATGCTGAAGCCGACGTAAAAATGCTTTGCAAGCTGCGTGCGAAATTGATTGACTCGTTGCAAGGCAAACGTGTACAGATGCGCATCACCGATTACTTCAATTATTGACGAATGTCCTGTGATTTGTGAATAAATGTAAGTCTTGACACTTCCCCCTCATGTGTCAGCTCAATACATGCGCCACTGCATGATGAGCCCTCCGTTCATTTAGCTTTCTTTACTTTGAACTTCTTTTATTACGAACAAATTTTCGGGCTTCTTCGAGTTCAAATTATCGAGATTTGACTGTATAATACATGCATGGCACACTGCCCTTTTATATTTATTTAAATCTCTGACCCCCTTACATTCATTCAAAGCCTGAAGCGTCACTGGCATCAGTGTTATCGCTACACGATTCTGTCTGAACCGGCGTTTTCTTCACTTTCCGCTCAGACAGTCATCTTCCGTTCCGTCAAGCACGCTGGAAATGCCAGCCTTCTTTACGCTCTTGACGACCACCTTGTCAAAAATGGTACTCCATGCTTCAAGAATCCGTCAGCAGAGTACTTGACTTCCACAGACGGTTTCCTGATTTTGCCACTTGGCGTGAAATTATATTCGCCTGCCACCATCCACTCTGCGTACAGCCTCCGGGTGTTGTCCTTCAACGGTTCAGCGACACATTATTCTTTCTCTTCTCTCTAGTGTACTCAGGAGTTTATGTTCAGTTAACGCTGCCCTTCCCTCACTTACGGTATTTACTCGCATAATCCTCACACTTTTTTTGGTGAAAAACCAGTGCAAAGTTGGGGTGTGTCAGAAACACGCGGGGAAGACTTTCCACGAAAACGTACAGAGCAAGAAAGAAAAAGAAGTGGCTGCAAATCGGGATTCTCACACCAGCAACTAACAGCAAGCTTTGAGAAGTACTACTAAAAACTTACATAAAAATAAAAGCAGAGGTTCAACACAAGGCAAGATTTATTCGAGGCGCAAAAAGTGCAAGCAAATAGTCGAGAATTAGAATACCATACGCAAAGCTTGTGGTCGTTGCGGGCGTAACGGTAGTGTTGCCACTCAACAGGAGCCCTCAAAAGGTAAGAGTACGATGTTAGTACTGCGCTGATGGCTATTTAACAGAACCATCCGCAGTTTCCTTCTGAAGCAATAAAGTTTACCATCAATCCCAGTCTTGTGCACACGGCAGGCCCAAGACGTCTTGGTGGCTTTTAGCTGCCGTCACCAGTAGCGAACACAAAACTCGTCGACTCCGAAGGGCCATCCAGCGACCCCGTTGCCGTTGTTTAATACACGATCAATCACTTTCAACTTGAAAGCAGCCGTGTAGCTTCAGTATCGCCCCATATTGTGATAAGATTACCGAAAAACATAAACACGCCGCAATGTGCTCTTGCCACTTGGCTTGGCTTGGATTGGATTAAATCTCCATGCAGTAAAAGTACACTTGATGCTCAAGAGATGGCACGCGCTATCATCATCAACGGCTGGGACGAGCGGACGACATTATTGTGGCAATTTTGGGGGTGCGATAATTACTCAAGGAAAAAAAATATAGTAGTTTTGTCGGGCGATGTGGGGGGTGTGAGAATTATGCGAGTGCGAGGATTACACGAGTAAATACGGTACTCTCTTCCTGCAATAAAGTAAATTCCGCTACTCCCCCACCTTCCAAATCATCGGCCAGTTGTTAACGAAAGCCTTCCACAAAATGGATCTGGGAGGCCAAATCTCTTAAAAACCTTATCAACAGGTAAGGGAACCGACACTACAACTGGCACGCCCACCTGCGCCTGCTGCCACTCATGGAGGAGCTCGGCAGTCTTGTCCAGTGCGTCAGCCAGCAGCCTTCGGTTGTGTGCCCAGGGCTGGGCCGTCTCGCGGATGCGGATGGCCAGCAGGGCACTAGCCATGTCTCGTTCCAGACGCGAGGCGGGAGAGCACATGCCGGTGTTGCTGTCCCAGTCGACAAGCGGGTCATACACAAAGGCCTCCAACAGCGTCAGCAGGGTCTCCCGACCGCGGCGCAAGACCTTCAGAACCTGCGGAACAACCAGACAGAAATATCCGACGTTGATGACGTCCACCACGAAGCACATTTCAAATATACACTTAAACCATAATATACCGTAGATACAGTGGAAATTCGATTATACGTTCCCCGGTGTCGCGACGACCTGCATTTTACTACGAATCGGTTTGGTCCCGGCAAAATCCCCATGGAAACAATGTATTAAACACCTTGGTTATACGACGCAATTTTTCGCCGACTCCGCATCTTACGACGACCTTCAGATTCCATCGGAAAGGAAAAAAAAAACACACCTTTATTCGAACCACATGTTGACCAAATATTCACGAGTGCAAAATGTGAACTTGTGTACCCCAAGGAGGACTACAGAAAAAATAGTCATCTTCATCTAATGGAAAATTTATACTCCCGGAAGTTCATGCACTTCTACATATTCCTCAATCGCATGCATACGTATCTGGAGTTACCTAGTCAAGCTCTATCCATATAGATTAGGTTCAGCTGACTAAAGAGGTGATATTTTCACATTTTCGGTCCATGGAAACATTTTCAGGTCGACATACGGCTGATCTCCTGCCTCTGTCACATTCTCAGTCACTGGTTCTCGCACGCATAAAAGCACGACACAGCTGCTTTCGCCGTGCAAAATTACTTTCACTTCACGTCGACGTTCATAACAACAGTGGGACACTACTTGCAGCACTTTACAAGGCAACAAATTACAATGCGCACAGCTCAGTCGCGCACAAATGCATCTTGCATAAACTCGTCCGTCGCCATCATGCGATAGCGGTGGCACTGCGTCTGACTTTTCTAATGGGAGGCTCACGGCAACACGGCTTCAGTTTTTGTTCTGACGCGCAAGCAATTTTCGGGCTCTATTTATCGGTAAAAAGATGCACGTTGGATTTCATTATTTTTAAGGCTGAGCGTAAAGATTCGCTCGGACCTCCTTCAACTAATTATTGCTGCCGTTAGCTACCACTGGCAACAATAATTTAATCTACCCTCATTGCAGAGGCAGAAGGTCATGCCGCGGGCTTATTCAGCCAGTCTGTACCCGTTTTTCAGGCAAGGCTGAGTGTCGCGGTCTATAATCTTAGTTTTTCGGTTATACGACAACTGGGTTATATGACGGTTTTGCGTGGTCTCCTAAAAGTTGCATAATTGGGGTTCCACTGTATAATCGAACCTTACTACAGTGAAGTTGCATCTTAACGAGAGTAAGTTTGTTATAGCTAAAAATTCGTTATGAATATATATTCCTAACACTACATCTAATGCAAGACTATTCTTCATATGCTTCGTCATAACCGATATTTCATTATATCTCGACTTGTTGTATCGAGGTTTCAATGTAAATGAAAAATAGTCTGGCAATAGATACAGTATTAGAAATTGTAATGAACTTTCAGACATTAACTTATTTTCTTGGCATGCAACTTTGTTATAATGAGGTTTGAGTGTAAGTACAAGGCTTGCAGAGATGCTTCGAAATGGAAGTGGACAACTTGGCCAAAGAGTGGTGGCCTATGTGCACACTAGATGAGTGTAACTCAAAATTAGCCGTGCCGTGTTCAACCAGTTTCTTCAGTTGCAGCGAAATGTTAACCTGCCAAATAATTGCACCAATATGAACATAAGTGAACTTAGGAAATGAATCTTGCCTCACTTTGACAGCATTGTAAAGCTTCTAGGTCATATGATTGCACCCTTTAGCAAGAGACACCTACAAGGGAGCAGCTCTTGCCCCTCTATGAGTGATGAAACACTGGTCTGAAACAACCATTCCACATTTATTTTAATCTATTTTGACGAAATCATACAGTTTATGAATACAGTCGAGCCTGCTTATATAACGAACCTGAGTCTGACGCGGCATCCGTTCGCTGTATCCTGAAGTTTGTAGTAAATGAAACACAGCTTTTAAGAAAGTTGCGAGTGAAAACACAAACTTTTTTTGCCCAAAAAAGTCTGTGATGCACGTGTTTCGGAGAGCAGAAGCGATAAGGGCGGTCTCTAGTTCATTTAAAAAAACAGTGTGCTTTTTCGCCGAGGCCTGTGGCATAAGCTGCATGAGGGACTGGTTCCAAAATTTCGTCGTTCTCGCAATTTGATTCCTCCAAATCACTCTCGCCATGTACTTCATTCACAATGCCCTAATCCGTGCACGATTCCGCGGTGTCGGCATCATCATCAGCCGTAATTAAACCATCGCAACATGTGTTCCACCCGCTCTCTCATGTCGGAGTCGACGGCGCGCTGCCACAAATCACTGCCGCAGTTCGGAAGCTTCAGGCTCGGCATTGGGCCCGAAGTCGACGAAGTCGGCCTCGCGAAAACAGTTTCACCCGCACGCAGCCGTCACCGCCGCCCACTAATTCACCATCTCCAGCGACAAGTTGGCTCAAGCGGCAAGTTGGCTGCCAGGTGGTCTAGAGCTATGAGCAAGCGCTCCGCAACGCGGCACCTAACGCGTGGATTACGCTCAAGCCAAGCGGTCATACTTTCGACATTTTGCTGAGCAGCAGGAAAAAGCGTGCAAGTCCTCTTGTCTGCCATCTTGATCACACACTCACACTAAGAGCGAGCAAGTCGCACACATGCGACACACAAGCCAGAACGCGCGGAACAGCTCTGGGCTTGTTTCTAGTCGGAAAACGAAACTAACTTGAGCCAGCGTGCCTGGCGTCGCGGAGCGGTGGAGACGGGCGAAGGCAGAGCTGAGAGGTTGTGATCAAGAGAGGGGAGCAGATTTGCGAGAGAGGAGGGGCAAGCAGTTCCGATAGAGTGAAGAGAGGGGAGGACGTGGCGGGAGAGCGACCTTGAAAACCAAAACACGCGGGAACAAGGTTGGTCGGGTTGTCACGCGCTAACCCTAAATCGCACAACACACACCGCTACGTCTTGCCACTCCTTCCAACCAGCCCAAACTCTCCCTTCCCCACACACGCAACCCCCAGCACTCCAGTCCCAATGATGATGATGACGCCGTCACGTACTGCCATCTCTCGGCCAAGTCCCGATGATGACGCCGTCACGTAACGCCCTCTCTCGGCCACCCTCACAGGTCTCCCCCCCCCCCCCCCTCAAAATGTGAAGCCACCACTACACATCGCCTGCAGCGTCATGGTACAGTGTCAGCTGGTCTGCGTATCTCACACCGTGGCGACGACCCGTTTTGGGGTCCACTAGAACAAAGTCATTCTGTCCTACACGTCTCGCTGCCCGAAAGGGACCGGAACGCCGGGGTGCAAGCTTCGAGGAGAAGCCCTTGGTGGCATCGCTGGGGGAGTGGCTTTCGAGCAGAACAAGATCACCCTCCTGTATTGTCAGTGGCCGCCTGTGCTGGTCGTAGCGAGTCTTCTGGGCGAGTTTCCATTATCACTTGAAAAGGAGACAGGTGTGCCATGTCTGCAAAAAACCTGGATCATGCAGGCCACCACACTCTTGCTGTTTGCTGCCCGCAATGGAAAAAGTTCAATGAACTTGGTGAACTTGTCAATCACCACGAGAAGGTACTTGTGGCGTCGAGGCGTCATAGGCAAGGGCCCAATTATGTCCACGCTGAGCTGTTCCATAGGGGCAGTGGCCCATTGACTGCTCATCAGCCCTTCTGGCTTCTGCCGGTGGGCTTTGGTGCGCTGACAAACCTGGCAGCATCGCACATACTTGGATATGTCCGAGCGCATACCCAGCCACACGAAATTCTGAGAAACGCGTTTGAGGGTCTTGAAAAAGCCGGAGTGGCCGCTAATCGGGTGGTCATGGGACAGTCGCAGGACCAAGTTGCAGAGATGGTTTGGTAGCCAAGGTACTTTCCTGTTCCCTCGGTGCTGTACAAGCAACCCACTCTCTTCCATCTCGGTCCTCTCCGCCAGGTCTTTGATCAAAGGTTGATCACTGTCAGTGGGCGGAAGTCCCTTCATCACAGTTCGTAGTTTTGACAGTATGAGGTCCTGCTCTTGTTCCTGGGTGAGGAGCCCTGCATCATTCAAGACAGTAGTGTCGTCCACTTCAGATGCTACAGCAGCTGCCTCAAAGCTGATTTGTGGGCTGGGCTCTAGAGCAGCCATAGAGAACAGCGTCTCGTGTAGACTCGGGCTTGGAACTTCCTGGTGCTGAAGGGGAGCTCTGCTCAAGGCGTCGGCTGGCACATTTGCAAGACCCCGCCTGTGCTTGATTCTGCAGTTGAAACCTTGCAGCCGCAAAACCCAACGCTTTACACGTGGTGAGGCCTGGTCTGTGGTGAACATCCAGGACAGTGAGGAGTGATCACAGTGTACCTCAAACTCGGTTAACTCAAGGTATGGTCGGAACTTGTCCACTGCCCACACCACAGCCAGACACTCCCATTCTTGCACTGTATAGCGCTGCTCTGCCTCAGTGAGGACCCTGCTAATGAAGCTTATTGGACGCAGTTGAGCATCACTCTCGGCTGCCTGCAGAAGCACCGCTGCAATGCCGACTCCACTGGCGTCTGTTTCCACCACGAATGGTCTGTTGAGGTCCGGCAAGTTTACAACAACATCGTCGGCCAGGGACTGCTTAAGTGCTCTAAAGGCTTCCTCTTGCTGCAGCTCCCACCGCCAACGTTGGTTTTTCTTAAGGAATTCTGTGAGAGGACGTGCAGTGATAGAAAACTGAGGTATGAACCCTCTGTAATAGCCTGCTGGTCCCAGGAAGGCCTGCAGCTGTTCGAGTGTTGTTAATTGAGGATAGTCCAGCACCGCTCGCACTTTTTCCTTGTCCGGCCTACACTGCCCGGGCGATATTTCATGGCCAAGGAACTAAAGGTATTGACAGCACACGTGCACCTTCTCTGGGTTAATGGTCAGCTGTGCCGAACTTATCCGCTTCAACACCTCCCGAACATGCTCAAGATGATCCTCTAGGGTCTCCGAATACACCAGGACATCATCGAGAAACGCCATGGCAAACTGGTGATTAATTCCCTCCAGTAGTCGGTCCATCAGGGTCTGAAACGTGGCAGGACCTCCGGCAACTCCA